TAGGCCGTCTGGAGTCACGAAGGCTGTTTTCTCACGGTCTCGCTGATCTACCTCGATTTGCCAATACCCGCTTTTGAGATCGAGAAAAGTGAAATAATGGGCACGACGAAGTCTATCCAGTGAATTGTCGATACGTGGCAGCGGATACACATCCTTTTTGGTCACATTGTTAAGCTTTTGGCAGTCGACGCAGAAGCGTAGCGACCCGTCCTCCTTTTTGACAAGTACGACTGGAGATGACCACGAGCTCTTAGATGGTTCAATAACGCCATCACCAAGCATCTCGCTGACTTGCGTACGTATCGCTTCACGTTCTTTAGCCGACACGCGGTAGGGATTCTGGTGTATCGGGCGTGCGTCCACGTATGTGATCATCCTGTGTTGAGTGATAGACGTCTGGCGGATCTTTGAGCAACTTGCGAAGCAAGACCTGTAACTCGAACAAGAGTGCTCGTAGCGCAGTCTGGTTATCGGTGGACAGATCAGGATTGATGTCAATATTACTCATTGACGTGTCGGCGGTATCCACTAGTTCTGACGTGAGACAGTTGGTGACGTTTGCTACTTCGTGGGCAAGCGCTATCGAATTGTCACGGAACAGATGGCGATGCTCGTTGCTAAAGTTGGTTACGAGCAATTCAGATCGGCCATCACGATGGTGTAGTACACTTCTAGCTACACAAATGCCTTGCTGCAGGAGGTGTTCTAAATTTGTCTCGGCCACCACATCGCCATCGCCCAAACTACAGCATGGTACATCGACTAGAACACTTGCTCGTGGAGGAAGCGTCACACTCTGTTCAGAAATACGGAGTACGTCGACACACCTTCGGTCCAATCCTGCACGTTGATTGTTGCTCGCTGGGCTGAGAACGTGACGCGGTGCTCTTGCAGATCAATAATAGCTCCATTTTCCTGTAGAAAGTCAACTCCCAGAATGACGTCACGGGAGCATTCGTGTAGAACAAGGCAGCTTGCTACGAATGTATACCCTTGAATCTGCACTCTAGTTGTGCAGGCACCCAGTGGAGTAACGACGTGGCCACCAGCTGTCCGAATCTGCGAGTTAGGCCACAGCATGATGACTTTCTTCAGCTGCGTTGTCAGTTTCCCGCTCTGTATAGAATAGTCGGCACCGGTGTCCACTAACGCATTAACTGCACAACCATCAATTGTCACTGATATGTCGAGCGAAAGGCGGCCATCCTTTGCAGCAGTATGTGATGTCAGACCGGTTTTGTACGGTTCTGCATCAATAGGAGGTCTTCAGCGCTTCGACGTTCAGCGACCCCGCCCCCAGAGGTTGCTTGGGCTAGTTTTCCTGGCGAGGGCTGGGAGACCGTGTGGTAGAATACCGCTGGGGCGTTTATGAAAATCGCCTCGGTGATGGAGAGCGCGACTGGCACCCGGCAGACGGTGGTGCATGCTGCTGGGAGAGGTAGTTTTCGATTTCGCCCAGTCTCTGGTCGTAACGGGGTGGCGGTGAGCACGCAGAGAAGCCGCGAAGCCCAAGACGGCGATATGGGCACTGGCGGTACAAGTGATCAGCTTCTCCGCAGTGAAAGCACAGAGGCCGGCGATCAGGTGTGCGCCAAACATCAGACTTCCGAGGAGACGTGCGCCGATCATCGATGTACTGAACTGGTGGCACTGAACGATGGGCGACAGAAGCGCCAGGGACAAAGGGCAAGGGCAATGGCGTGTACGTGCCTTCGTAGTACGGTATGTGCTGCGCTGACTGGAGTGAAACAGCAGGAACAGGATGGACCAATAATGGCGGCGATGCAGCAGGGCGTTTCAAGGCTTCCGCATAGGTTGTCTCACGGCGATATTCAGCAGGAGCTGTCGCAGCTGTATCAGGAGACAAGGTTTTCCGGAGGGCCTGGTGCAGCTCATCCTTGATCACAGTTGCAATAGAGCTAACCGTAGGATGAGGTGTTACACCAGCTTTTTGGAACTCTTCACGTACTATATCACGGATGAGTTCACGGAGACAGTCGTTGCTGGTTCTAGTGGCGGTGAAAATGTTGGCAGTAGACATGCCACTGACTTGCCTGTTGTATTGGTTGAATCGCTGCTGCAGCATTTTTTTCCATTGTCATGGCCTTGGACAAGAACTTTGCGACCGTCTTCGGAGGGCTGCGCACGAGGCCGGCAAAAAGCTGGTCCTTGACGCCGCGCACCAAGTGATGCAACTTCTTGTCCTCCATCATTCTTGAATCCGCCTGTCGGAAGAGGCGCGTCATGTCTTCTACGTACGTGGTGACAGTTTCGTTTGGCAACTGGACGCAGGCCAGAATAGCTCGTTCAGCTCGTTCTTGGCGATCAGCACTGGCATAGGTCTACAAAAGTCTATGAGAGAATTCGGGCCACGTCGTCAGCTGCTCCTCTCGGTTTTGATACCACGTACGTGTCCCGTCTTCGAGATAGAAATAGACACGACCCAGTTTCGCCGCGTCGTCCCACTGATTCAAGGTGGGTACACGCTCGGAGTCCTTGGCACCTACACCAGTTTGTCTTGATGAGTCACAAGTGCTGGGGGGATTTATTGAACCACCGGGTAGCTAGCTCTAGGACGATGCATCAGTCGTGGCTGGCTCTCGAGCAGAGAAGACGCGCGCGATCTTTTTCATCCAGATTGAGAGCCGCTCTTGCTGTCGACCTACTATGTGCTGGTGGCAATATATCATGCAGTAGGTTTGACAGCATCTTGTTTACTTTGCATAAATAATTTCTACTGTTCTCAAAAATTCTGTTTAGGTAGATTTGACTCGTAAAAAAAACTCCTCGAATGTTTGCAAAAGCAAAAAATCATATTTCACTAGTTCTACTTGTGGGGTCTCGAATTGGCGAGCGTGCGCCACGCCACGCTCTTGGAGTGAACGGACACGGTAGACACGGTTGGTACAAACAAAACAACATACATACATTTATTTATCTAATTTACAACGACGATATCGTCCGCCGAATTGGTACATAACTCGTTATGTAATACGCTAGGACATCGTTACACAATAACACGAGGAACACACTATAACACACCCAAGGCGGCGGCGCCAACGCTTGATTTACCATGTGGGCCCCCCGGCAAGCAGGCCCGCAGTGCCCCGCGCCGAGGACCCATGCTAGAGACAACCGTTCGCGACAGCCGCCACGCGCAGAAGAGGCTCGCTCAACTCTCGCCCACCACCAAGGCCTGCCTTCCGCCAAGGGTCACCGCCGGCGCTACCACTCTACTAACAGTGGTACTCAACGCGAACACAACGCCTTCTGTCGCCCGGTGGTCGTCACCCGAAATGCAGCCTTGGGGCGAGACACGTGCGCCACACGGCGCAAACAACTTTACAGAGGGTGTCCGCACCTCCCCATTTCCCCAACCTTAAATCAAACCATATCCCGAAAACAAGGATCAGCTACACAAGCTTTAACAAAAAAAAAGAGATCGCATGTCCATAATGTCCTTGCACCATGACACCGCCGCCGGTCGACACTGCTGCACTGTCCGGCTCGACTTTCCCTCAGTACCGGCCCCGCAACAGCAACGTTCCCATCGGCGCAACGAACCGTCGCTAGCGCTGACACGTCTTCCAGTTGGACCAGCACTCACGAGGGCGCCGGACTGCAGGCAGTTGCGCAGGTCCCAGGCGTCTCCATCGCCCGACCTCACAACCGCATTCCTAGCCAGCGACGCTGATGATGTGCCGAAGACAGCCGGCCGTTGATGACATCGCTTCCGCTGAATACACCATCAAAAAAACACTCGAAAGAAACAATGGAGCAGGGCCTAGGGAAGGCAGCTTCGGGCTTTTCGGCCGCGTGGTACGATAGTCAGTACTGCTAGCTAATACATCGGCGGCAGCTGAGACGCCCATCAATATAAAACAGAAATGACTTGTTGCTAACTCGTGCATCGCAAGATAAACAAGGCTTCCGTACTCACTCGCTTCAGGCCTGGCCTACAAACCACTTGCTCTATGCCTTGCTCACCCCAGGATCCGGACCCCATGGCTCTCGTCCTAATTCAACAATGTTTTTGAATACTAACACAACGAAAAAAAAACACTTGCGAGCAGAAAAAAAAAACTCAACCTGCCGACTAGTTCAAACACGTCACAAGACCGATCTCCTCACTTCTCAACAAAGCACACTGCTGACGCTAGCAATGAGAAGTCCCCCCTAGGCCTACTCCACCCCGGTTCAAACAAAAGCTTGTACCAAACCGCAAAAACTGTCGTCCGACACTCTAAGAGCTCCACGTTGGGCAGCCAGTGTGGGGTCTCAAATTGGCGAGCGCGCGCAACGCCACGCTCTTGGAGTGAACAGACACAGTAGACATGGTCGGTACAAACAAAACAACATACATACATTTATTTATCTAATTTACAACGACGATATCGTCCGCTGAATTGATACATAACTCGTTATGTAATACGCTAGGACATTGTTACACAATAACACGACAAACACACTATAACGCACCCAAGGCGGCGGCGCCAACGCTTGACTTACCACGTGGGCCCCCCGGCACGCAGGCCCGCGGTTCCCCACACCGAGGACCCACGCTAGAGACAACCGTTCGCGGCAGCCGCCACGCGCTGCCGCGAACGGCACAAACAACTTTACACACGGCACAAACAACTTTACAGAGGGTGTCCGCACCCTCACACACTTAAATAGTTGGGAAGAAAGCCCATAAAAATTTTTCAGAAAGACAGCTTCATAGATAACCAAAAGTTTATAAGCGCTATAAAATTAGTGGTCTAGATGGAGCCAAGGTGTTTCTAGGGCCGTTGCTCTAGCATAAAACAAGATAACATTAAGGTAACACAGCCAAAATGAAGTTTGACTTCAAGACTTACTGCTTTTGTCAACTTCTCTCTCCATTGCTATGCAACACGTTGCCCAAAATTTTTATATTACATCAACCCGTTCTTTCTTATGCATGGCTAGCGAATTGGCTCAACAAGTACCTCTTTTAGCAGTGAAGGATGACAACTCACGAGGGGCTGAGACCTTGATGACCTCAAGAACGTCAGAAGTGGAGCAAGGGAACTTGCACATGCTTTCCCGCAAAATCAGCTTGTCACCCTTCAGCCTCGGGTTCAGGCACAACATGCCCTTGCAGCCCGCATACCGAATCTGTATGGCCGATGGCTCATCCTCGATGCCCAGCTTTTGGCAAACCTGAGAATCCCGTAACAGTATAAGAGTGAAACCTTAGCACACCGAAATCTCCTGTGCGCACAGTGTTTTAGTGTGTCCAGAAAAGCAGCAGAAGACTATGGCAAAACTGAAATTCTGTAGTAGGTACAATCATAAAAGTTTATATAACACGGGATCTGCGTGCGCATGTTGAATTTTTAAGCAACTTACTAATGAGGCAAGTAAATGTACGCATTACTACATTTATTGCATATATTACAGTTGAACCCCTTTATAAGAAAGATGCACTGGGCAGCAATTCTTGTCAATTACTTGAGACGTTTCTTATAATATCAGCACAAGGGTATCAGCATCCCCACATTGTGGGGATGCTGATACTCTTGTAAAGTTGCTTGTGCCGCGTGATACACGTGTCATGCACAGAAGCCGTATTTCAGAGTCACAAATTATTGAGCGGTAGGTGGCGTTATGTTCTCGAGCCTTGATCCCCGCTATCATCATCATCATGGTTAGATTGGTAGCGCCGGCGGTGACACCTGGCAGCAGGAGAGAATTGAGTGAGTCTCTTTCGCTGGTGGCATTTGGCGAAAACGGTTGTCTCTCGCAGTGGGACCCCGGTGCACAGCGCCGCAGGCCGTCTGCCGGGGCCCTTGTGGTGAGTCAGCCGTTAGCGACACCGCCTCGTTTGTCATGTTGTTGAGTATTGTTTAGTATTGTGTAAGAATGTTTAACGTGTTGATCGCAATTGATGTTATAATAACTAGGCTGGCAATATCGTCGTTCTACAAGCACTAAATGTGTGTTTGACAGGGTTTGTTCTGATCGTGTCTACTGTATCCGTTCACTCCAAGAGCATGGTGGTGCTTTCGCATCATCAAGACCCCACACTGGCTGCCCAACATGGGGCTCTTGGAGCATCGGACGACAGTTTTCGCGGTTCAGTACAAGCTTATGTTAGAACCAGGGTAGAGTAGGCCTACGGGGACTTCTTCGCTAGCGTCAGTGGTGTGCTTTGTTGAGAGCGATGAGATCAAGTTTGGTGGAATGTTTGAAGGTGGTGGTGGTGGTGGAGGTGGTTTGAACTCGTCGACACGTTGAGCATTTTTTTACTGCTCGCTAGTTTTTCTTTTTTGTTGTTGTCGTTGGTTTGAAAGATTGTTGTTGAATTGAAACGAGAGCCTAAGTTGTGGTCTGCATCCTGCGGTGAGAAAGGCTTAGAGCACGTAGGATTGTAGGCCAGGCTCGAAGCAAGTGAGTACTGAAGCTTCGTGAGTGGTCCAATTTTCTTTAAGCAGCTTATTCTATCTTTCGGGCTCAGGGAGCCAGGCGTTGTTGCTGTTTGGTATTGTGGCTCGACGCCGGGGCATCGTGACACCGTCTGAGACGGTTGACGCCAACTGCTCGGTAAGCTGCTGTGTGCGGCGAGCGATAGGGCCACCTTACAGAGTGGATGTCTCCTTGTGGCTGCCTCTTCTGCGCCTAGGCGGAGTGCTGGGTGGATGCCGGTTGTTGTCAAGCGAATCATTAGGCCTAAGACTCTGCGCAGCCGCCTGTCGCACGTGGCACAACTAGGTGGATCGTGGCGTTGAGGTGTTGCACTCTGCTTCCCTCACTTTTTTTTTAGCTTCCAATGCACGAATTAGGAAAAGTGACTTTTACTTTATCTTTGATGGGCATCTCGGCCGCCGATGTATTAGCTAGCAGTACTGACCATTGTACCATGTGGGCGAGAAGCCCAACGCTCCCTTCCCTAGGCCCAACTCCATTATTCTGTCGAGTCTTCTGGGATGTACGCAGCGGGAGTGATGTAACCCACGGCTGGCTGTCTTCTGCACATCGTCAACCCCGCTGCCCAGGAATGCGGTCGTGAGGTCGGGCAATGGACGTGCTTAAGATCTGCACAACTGCCTGCAGTCCGGCGCCCTCGTGAGTGCTGGTCACAACCGGACAACCTATCGGCGCAAGTGACGGTTTGTCGCGCCGACGGCAACGTTGATGTTGCGGGACCAGGTACTGAGGTGAAGCCGTCGAGCATGACTGTGCAGCAGTGTCGACCGGCGGCAGTGTCGTCGTGCATGGACATTATGGAGGGACATGTGTTCTAATTTTTTGTTAGAAGTTGTGTAGCTGATTCCCTTCATGTTTTTCTTTTCGAAATATGGTTTGAATTAAGGTTGTGGGGGGTTGTGGGGGTGCTAATACACCCTGTAAAGTTGGTTGAGCCATGCGGCGCATGTGTCTCGTGCAAGAGCCGTATTTCGAAGTCAACACTATTGAGCGGTATGTGGCGTTGTGTTTGCGAGTGTTGATCACCGCTATAATCATCATGGTTAGATTGGTAGCGCAAGCGGTGACCCCTAGAGGTAACCTTGGTGGCGGCAAGAGAGGATCGAGCGAGTCTCTTTTCGCCAATGACGTCTGGCGAAAACGGTTGTCTCTCGCAGTGGAACCCCGGTGCACGCACCGTATGCCGGGGTCCCTTGTGGTGAGTGAGGTGTTAGCGACACCGCCTCAATTGTCATGTTGTTGAGTGTTGTTTATTATTTGTTTAAAGATGTTTAAAGTGTTCATCCCAATTGATGTTATAATAATTCAGCTGACGATATCATCGTTCTAAAAGCAGTTAAATTAGTACTAAATGTGTGCTTGGCTGGGTTTGTTCTGCTCGTGTCTACTGTGTCCGTTCACTCCAAGAGCTTGGTGGTGCTTTCACCTCATCGAGACCCCACAACATGCATATACCAGACAACGGCTTTGCTGGAAAGGTTCCAATATGAGTTAACTGGTTTACATTCACCATGACCATCCATAACTCATCATGCTACCTGCAGTTTAGCGGTAGTGGGGACTTTATGAATGGATGTTCTAAATATGAATCCAAATTTTTAAGCAAGGTATCATATACACTGGGTGAACTTATTTATAACAATCTCTTGCTATTGATGATCATCTGCAATGTTTATTGATACAAGGACCACACTTGGTGAAAGAGCAAAACTTCACTGTTTCCCGTCATAAGCATTACGTGGCCCTATAAAAAAAGGGTACCGAATACGTGTGGAATAGATGAGTCACACCTTCTGCAGGAGAGACCTTGACACCATGCCAATTCCATCGGAGAAGACGTAGGGGTTCTTAGACATTGGGTGGCGTCCTCCAACCTTGTCGGCTTCCGTGATTGCGCCAACACCAAGGGGAACTTGCACCGACTCCTCGGTCGAGGAAAAACACTGACCCATGCGAGCCATTTTCTTGGCGATACTGGTGATTTCAGCTGAAGTCACCCATCCACTCTCGAATGCCCTCTGGGCTCTGGCCTTTGGTGACCTTTGCAAAAAGAAAGATGAAAGTTTGGCATGCACATTATTATGCACTTCCCGACACATTGTGTCATACAGATGGTATGTTGTGCAAAATATATCCAGGAAGATACCCTCCCCATGTAGACCACGCAACCAATAATCCATGTAACACTGTGTCATATAGACGGTGTGGTGTTGTAAAAAATCTTTCCTAGAAGATTCATGCAGACTATGCAACCAATAACACCAATCGCACACTGGGCTTTATACGCTGTAATCTTTATCTTTCTTCCACTCCTGTAAAATTACTTATTTATAAGTCATTAGTCTATTCTAAACTAGAATATTTTGCTTATGTGTGAGACACCAGTCAAGAAACGCTCATTCATCAGCTTGAACACATCTACAGTCGGGCTGCTTGTTTCATTTTAACCATCATCGCACCTCCAGTTTCACTTCCATGAAAACAACTTTGTCATTACCTCAGCTTCCATAACGTAGAAAAATATCTCGCCTCTGCCTGTTCCACAAGGTACATTATGACAATCCAGTTCTTAAGAATAAATTGATAACCACTTCTTCTTAAGTATCCGCCAACATCGACTATCATCATAAGGTTGGTATTCTCACATGCCACACCAACCATTTTTACAATTCATTCGTCCCCCATACCTCAGCAAGTTGAATTCATTTTCCCTGATCTGTCGTCACGATTACTGATAACTCTAAGTTTAAGGCTGCTGTAACTAGCTTGTTGTGTCATAATTCTTTTTTAGGATTACTTTATTTCCATTTCTGAGCAGCACTCCTGTCTTCATTTTCTCCCTTTTTTTTTCATACGTCTATATCTCACATTTGTTGCGGCAACGATGCATTTTGTTGGTTCATAGGCATGTGCTTGTGCTCGAATGTTATTTTGTTTGTATTAATCCTTTTTTTTTTTTGTAATAGACCCTGTCACACTTGGCGTATCTTAATTACCTGTTTTTCATTACTTTACTGTGATATTTTTCATTGTTGGTTTTCTTCACTATATCTATGCAAGCACCAATCTTTTGCTTTTTTTTAAGTATGTTGTTTAAAATATGTAAACCACTCCGCTCTGTAATACCATCGGGCCCTGAGGACCCTGAAATAAATAAATAAACAAATAAATGTAGTGTACTTTACTCTGAAAACCTACCAGGCAATAACACTACGATAGCTTAATGATTTTCCCCTTTATTAAGAGAAAACAAGTGGCAACTGAGGGATGCATTAGAATGACACCTACTTGTATATGTCAGTCTGCTTGTCTTTGTGCCTTAATTAACCAACGGTTTATATATAAACAAGCGAAAATTCCCTTTAAGCACATACATACAGTACTCCCTGATTGAATTGCAACAATTTAGGGCTAAGTATTGCACATACTCTCATTTTCATTGTGTTCGGTACGGGTAGTGTACGCATAATTTTGGCACTAACACTCAGACCAAAGCCCACATTATCTTTAGAGACCAGATTTATAGTATCACAATGTAGCTTTTTGTGACATTGGGCTTCCCATTTAGAAAAATGAAAATTTTAATGTCCGATTTCAATCTATGAGTACTGTACCATACTTTACTTTGGACAGAGTTATATTATTACTACATTTCAGTGAACACAGGCTTAATGCATTGACATATATCACTAAAGAATAACATCAAGAACCCCCAAAAAATATTTTCATAAATAAAGGAACAACCAGGCTTTTAGCTTTCCAAAGCAAATGAAAGGTTCAACAATCAAAATGTCCGAAAATAAGTTTTATAAAGAAATATTCAACTGAACCCTGCATGTATGTGCTGTTCAAAAATTCTGGGGTTAATTCTGCTGTTATCAGGCATTGTCCCTCACCTACAATAACTGACCTTACATGTCAGGTAAAAAAGATGTCATATATCAGATAAGGTTGGCAGATCTTGTTTCAGAACTCAGTAGGATAATTCAGCATAAAAAAGTGTTACAAAAAGTATTACAAAGCATACTCAAATACCTAATATCAAATTTTACACCAAAAATCATGGCACCAATGGTGGAAGAGTTTATGAGTTGAAGCAGTGTTCAGTGCCAGGTGTACTGTGCTGACGAACAGGCAAATGTTGTCAAGCAGGTGACGAAAAAAGTGTCGAGAGGTCACAAAAATACCGAGCTATGATTTCAAGCTTGTATGTGCTACCTTAATGGTTTCCTTCTGTGTTCTCTCGGCAGTGTTTCCGTACTTGCATTGTGAAAGCTGATGCAATGCTTAGTCTGTCCGAGAGTGCAGCACATTCTATCTTTTTATTGCAGGTGCATTCCAGCTCCCGATATAAAGGAGAAAATGCTCAAAAATGCTGCAAAGAACACATGCGGAGCTTATGAAAGGATATTCTCATGCTTCAATCAGTGAACCTCATTTGTTTAGGCAATAGAATAAGCTGGTTATATGTCTGTTTCCTCATCGAAATATTTCCACAGTGTCGTTCTTCATCACATCCTCGCACCAGTGCAGTGGAAAATAAATCATTTCGTTCTTGAATTTAACCAATTGTTGGCTGCCAGTACATGGGCATGTTCTCTAGTCTGTTCTGTGCTTCATTGTATATGCACTGATAGCATAAGCACAACAAACAGCTCTTCACGGCAGTATCAATTTACAAAGAAAAATGAAAATGTTGGAATATTTTTCTGTTTAATCAACAAGAACAGCAAAAAAATCATTTTATGTTACCGAGGTACAAATGGGGGTATGTTTTGTTTTTTGGGTATACATTAACTTTGTTGATTCCACTACCTGCACATAATGTACAGCAGAGTTCAATAATGATATAACCAAAGGCTAGGCTTCATGAAATCTGCCACAAGCAATACCGTTAAAAAAAAAGAGACGCTTTAAATGTTTATTTCTAATATTGTAGCCACAACCCAAATTCTTAAAGCCATAAGAAAATGCCTGTCACCAACTGAATCCCCATTACCACTGTACTACCAATCCCTAAATGGAAATTCATACACACAGCAAATAATGCTTCAAGAAAGTAATGTGTCTGAAAGAACCCACATTTAAGTACTTATATATTCTGTGTGCTTTAGGTCTTATCGACCACTGACGAATCCTTCTGACATATAGAAATTCTGGTGAGATCCATTTTATATGTGTTCTCTAATTTCCCTAAAATGTTTATACAAGTAGCCTGGCACTCTCGTACCACCTAAATATACCCACTGGCACTTGAATTTTTTTTCTCTTAACCTCAAAATTTAGCTATGATAGACATCTGTGTACGTGTATGCATATGTCCCAGAATTTTTTCCCGGGAACAAGGAGGTTGATGTACCTTGCAAGGGCCTTAGACTGTGAAATAGTATGACATCTGTATTTATGGCAAGGAAGTAAATAAAAAACTGCCCCATTGAGTCGGCTGAAATGTACTGAATCAGGTGAACAGACAGAGAACCTTCAAGACAGGGAATCTGCAGCAACTACTTACTGTTGCGAAGAGCCAGACCCCATGGTCTCTGAGTTGACTACATGATGCTGCCAGCAGTTTGAACTGCCTGCGGCCAATGTAGATGCCTCTGCGGAGGGGTCGTCCAACAATGGCCTCCACGATTTCATTTCTATGTTGATGGAAGGCCAAGGAGTGGGAAAGTGGCCTTAGGTTGTCATCCCGGATTGTCAACCTCAATGCGAACTCGGACACAAACTTGCGCAGGACCCTGTTCTCCTGGTGGACGTACGGAGGCAGCAGGAGGAGACGAGATGGAAGCATGAATACACGTCGAACAAGGCACGAGCCAGGAGGTGCCGCATGGGGCACAAAGCTTTGGGACATTTCGCGAAAGGCCTTCTCGACGGCTTCATGGAATGGTCACAATGTGTCGGGCCTCTATGTCTGCACTGACAGCAAACAGGGCTGGCTCGAGAAGCGCTTGATTATGGGAAGCAAACTCTCGGAGGGTCTTCGAAAAGCCTTCCAGTAAGCCTTGTTGTGAAAGAAGCACCAGCTGGGCTGCGAGGTCGCTGCTTTGCAGCATGAGGGCGCACAGTGCGTAGCAGCACTCATACCCGACCCGGTCGGTTACGTGCGTGTCGTACCACTTACGCATCGCTTCCATTTTAGGGCCGACATCGTGCACGCTGACAGACGCGTAGGAAAAGATTGTCCCGATGTCACACCTTCGGCTGAGGCGACCTAGGATTTGGCGCGCCTTAAACTTATTACGTAGGCCGAGCACCAATACAAAGTTGGTACCAAGCTTGAAACATGGTATGACACTGGTGCAGAAGCAACCAATCTCGATTGCTCGTTCGTACGGGAAGTGCTCGGGATTTCGAGCGTTCGAAGTATTAACCGGCTCCTCTTGTGTTTGTGAAGCCGTCTTCTCAGGACATTCTGGTACAGGAGTGGAAAAGTCGAAAGGTGTAGGTATAAATCTGTCGTGGCTGCATTGCCCTCGCGATCGTCTACTACCGCGCGCACTATGTTTGCATACGGAATCTCTAACTTGTAGGCGGAGTCAGGATTGGTACACAGATGGGCATGTTGCAGCGTGAGGAAAATCCAAATGACTCGTACGTCGTGCTTGAACACGCAGACTAGTTTGTAACCGAGGTGGCTTCTAGATTCCGGACGAATGGACGTGCACTGAGCAAATGAAGTCAAGCCTAGAGAAGCCCCGAAGGACAGAAACGACAGTTGGATGTTCCTTTCGCACGTCACAGAGCCACGCAGGAAACCGTCATTGCGATCGGGAGCGAGCCACTGCAGTAGGCGCGGACTCCCTTCCACCCGTCCGTCCATGCACCACTGTCGAGCGAGCTTAAAGTAAAGTTGTTCCAGTTTGGCGGATGACATGCTGCAATCCAGCTGGAGAGTGCAGACTGATTGGTAGATGCGATCACCGTATCTGCCATTGAAAAACTCGGCGGGGTCAGACACTTCCACGCGGGCAGAATCTATGTACGCTCGAAAGAACTGCTGGTAACGTCTTACGTAGAGACCGGCGTCCTGCTTCGGATCAGGATTCCACAGGGCCGTGAAAGTCAGGGTGCTACTTGCATTGATCGGCATGTCTACAACTTTCCTTCACACTCTGGTGGTTATATGCGAAAGCTCGAAAGTAGCATCATCGTCAAGCTATATACAGTTGCCATTCCACAGTGCATTTATAGGGAAGCTGGCTACATCCCTGCATAAACTGCAGAGAAACGCAATGTAGAGATACGAGAAAACAGCAAACCATAGAGCTTCTTCAGCAAGCCAGCCACTTCCGACACATTTGATAACGAAACTACAATTCACCGCAGATGGCAGATAAAACCATTTTTGACGATGGCCGTGACGATGGCTCTTGCTGAAGTGACTGCGCTAGCCAACACCAAAGCCGATGAAGCGGTCAAAAGTAGTCAAAGAACACGTTACTACAGTGGCTAGAATTCTAGCCACATTAACGTTACTATCAGAGTCGATGGTTACTATCGCATGTCATTACACAGGTGTTCTGTGATTACACTGTAATGCCATCACCGTACGAAGTTGCGCGATTTGCTGGGTGTTCTCTGGTATCGTCACGCATCACATTTTAACGTCACGTCTGGTCACGTTATGTACGGAACGGTACAGTAATGCAAAGCAAACCGTTGTTAGTATGCCGAGTATGATTGCGAAGAATGCTTGTGGGATATCTTCATGGGGCTTGCTGGTGGTTGCAGCCGTACCGTCGCAAAAGCCTCCGTAGTTATGTAAACTGTAAATTCTGGAAGCGGAAGTGGCTCGAGCTGCTATTTTCAAGTGAACCCGACGTTTAAAGACCCGTTCGGTTTTGTTTTGTTTTTTCTCTCTCTAGCAGCGCCGCTTATCTTCTCACCTTGGCTCCACTTTTCTATTGCGTTTCGCATGCCATCACAGCAAGTCGTTCATGTTCACAGACAAAGGCGGCACCAGTAAAAGCCCTATCCCCCCTCCCCCCACCCTCCATCTGGAAGCAATTGATTGATTGATATGTGGGGTTTAACGTCCCAAAACCATCTATGATTATGAGAGACGCCGTATTGAAGGGCTCCGGAAATTTCGACCACCTGAGGTTCTTTAACGTGCACCCAAATCTGAGTACACGGGCCTACAGCATTTCCGCCGACGTCGGAAATGCAGCCGCCGCAGCCGGGATTCGATCCCGCAACCTGCGGGTCAGCAGCCGAGTACTTTAGCCACTAGACCACCGCGGCGGGGCCATCTAGCTAGAAGCAAAAATAGTCAAAACAATGCATACGTTTTTGGCATTTCAGCCCCACTGCAGGAACTCTCTTGCTGTGGGTGCCTCCCCAAAGGAGTACTGGTACTGCCGCTATTCCCAGGGGTGGTTCTGGTTGTGCCACGATCCGAGAGAGCCTCATTCCCCGATTACTTTCGGTGTCAATCAAAGAAGGTGGATGCTGTGGTCAGCATGGAGACACAACACCCTTGCAGAGCATTGTGGGAAACATGACCATAAAACCGATTTTGACGCTTGCCCCTGCACGACGCAATGGAAAGGCAAAGCAGATGTGAGAAGATAAGAAGCACTGCCATTACCACAAGCAATATGGTCACCCAAAATAGAAGAGACTGAACGAGTCCTGAAGTGTGGTTATATGAAAAACTTACTGAAGCCATTTCTGCTTCTAGTATTCTTTCACCCAGCCACACAGATCGTTATCAAAATATTTACATTTCTGTGCATCGCATGCCTCTAGGGAGATAAGTTCACAAGGTCGTGGCATCATTTTTGCAGAACGTTTTTTTATATATACGACTGATGCTTATTGGACTTAACAAACGTTTTACTTAAAGCTTTTCTTGCTGCCATAGCACGCGCGTGCATTCTACCCCCCTCGTAAGGAATTCGCGATCATGCAGTAAGTGCCGTGATCATCTGTGCAAAACATTTGTGTGCTGCGGTAATAGCACTGTCGGCACTGAGCAGCCAGCTTCTAATAATCGGTGTCACAGGGCATTACGAGTCGCTGTGCATGCCCAAATATTTCCATGCGCTTAAGTGCTCGACGCACATTATCGTCTTTATTCTGAATATACATTTCGTTTGTATCTTCCTGTTCTTAAATTAGAATTTTGAACTTATAAACCATTGAAGCAGAGGGCTGGAAATGCGTTATTGCTGTTCTTGGGAGCACCAAATCTACAGGAAGGGCTGTAGGAGTGATTGTTCACACGCGCTCTGCTCTTCTCTCCTCTTTAGGCTCCTTCCCCCCCCAACCTTCTCATATACGGTAGCCAACCAAATATTTGTTCTCATTGCCTTTCCTTACCCTCACGTCTCGATGTATTCTGAAATGCAGCATGGTAATGCTAGTGTTATATTCGTAAATAAATATTGCATAAAGTTTCATCGTTTTGTCTTGTGCAGATTCTTGCTGGGTATTGATGTTTCAACACTGCCCATCGACATGGCTAATCCAGGCGAAACAATTCTCTCCTTTACTTGCTATTGGTGCAGTGGACCTGCTGTTGATTGCCAGTTGTACTTGCCTTCTCTTAAGAGTTTCTTCACGAAGTACATTGACTTGTCATCAGCATCACTGCACATCTCTCAGCTGCAGCAAAAAGCTGCCGCTGATGGCATCTATGAAGACGAAATACAGTATGTAATGTGCCAACTTGAGTTCACTACACTCTCCATGAAACAACTCAAGACGGTGAGGGATACTGTTATTCATCAGTGGTGCAAGCAGGGGCTAACAAATCGTACATTTTCAAACACACTCCAGTGGCTGGTTCCCGGTTCCTCCTGGAGCCTTTGTAATGACTTCATTCCGCAAGAAGACGTGTTGGTAAAATCTATTGCATTTGGATTGTACGTTGGCTTTTGTACTTTTGCTGAAGCGTATAACATCACCAAAATTATGGGGACTGCACACTTGAGGGTGAATTGCTCATTTCAGCACGACCAGAAACTTGTGCACATCTATTTAACGCTTCAGCACAAGTGTGGAAAGATTCAAACGATATACAGGCTTCTCATAAAGTATGATGACATCTATCGCGTGGTCGTCAGTGCAGCAAAAGACTCCACAGAAGTTTACCTCCATGTTAAAACCTTTCCTCTGATTCATAGGCAAGTACAGCTTACCCTCGAAGATGTCCATCTCTCGCAGAGTGCTATGCCGCACAAGAGCTGCGATCGAATGAGATTCGAAAGGACATTGAACATTGGATGCTCCTGCATTACTTACTTGAATAGCACCATTCTTGCTGGCTATTATGTTGTGAAGCTGTGTGTGACTAGTGGCACCAAAGTTCGACGACTGGTAAGTCGTCTCGGTGACCGTTGTAGGAGAGAAGTAAAGGTCGTGTATGCTCCTGTCAAAACTATAAGTGTTATGCATTGCATGGAAAGCGCAAAGCACGAGATTATGACTGCAATTGCACCTCTGGTGCAGTTTCCGTGTCAGTACGCACTGAATGTGCTCCTGCAAAGGAGCAACGATGTCTTGGTTCAGATGACATTGCAGCGAGATGACGACCGTAAAGCATTTCTCACATTCATGCAAAAGTGTGCCAGGGCCAATGAGAGTGCACTGGAACAGGCTTTGATTGCTCTGTACCTCTCCATCGAAAGCGGCTGCACCTTCACGCTCCAGACAGCACTTCCAGCTCTCTTCGTGAAGTTCCACGCAAGCTATGTGCCGCTAGAAGTTCCCAACAACTGCTGTTGGGTGCGGCGTGCAATCTCCACCCCGTCAAACTTCATCCTCCTTCCTCCTGAAGTGCATTGCCAGAACAGGGTGCTTCGTAGTTTCAACCCGGAGTACGCTCTTCGCGTGACGTTCCGGGATGACAATTACGATTACCTCTCGCACACCCTCATGTTCAGCCAAAATGTGGATGAAATCCTTGAAGCGACTGTAGCATCACTCCTTCGAGCAGGAGTCTCCATTGCAGGTCGCCACTACGAGTACCTTGGAAGCTCCGCGAGCCAGCTTCGTGACCATGGCGTATGGCTGTACACAAAGGTGGGTCATTTGCATATTGATGCTTCAGTTTTCCTTAATCTCTTGGGAAGTCTTGTACGAGAAATGCAGACCATTCTGCTAATGAGAAGTCATTGAATGAAAAAAGTTCCTGTTGTGATGATGTTTATTCGAGCAGAGAAGTCGATGTTTATTCAATGTTTATTCAAGCAGAGAAGTGAGATCCCCAAGCAGACATGGAGCTCCGCTCTTGCAAGTTGGCCGAGAGACCACCACGAAACACGATTGACGCAGTCACCAACCAGCCCATCCCAGCCTACCCAGCACCTCCACCAAATGTGATGATGTTTATTCGCGCAGAGAAGTCGCAACGAGGTTGCAACAAAAAATGGCCGTACGGCAAGTCTGGCAAAGGCGGCACAGGCTCTCGTGCAATCAGAACACGGGCTTTTTTCGTTATCTTCCGAGGGCGCATACGCGTTGGTGCGTATGCTCCACTACACTGTAGTCAATTATTCAACAAGGGAGCTTGACTTCGTCAGATCAGTCTGCTTGCATGAAAGTTGAGGGTGTAGAATTTTGTTTCATACATACTGTGGTGAGCTGTGATAATTATGGAGTAATTATAACTGCCTAACATAATGTGCTTTTGTTCACAAAAATGTTTATAACCTATTAAAAGTAAATAGGAGTAAGAGTCTTTGTCAGGCAATGTGGCCTTTAGCTTTTACTTCTCTTTCTGTATAAAAAAGAAATATAATAAACTACAAACTTCCTACGCAAAAGGTATTTATTAGCGACAAGTATGAGAAATAAAAAAAAACAGTTTGACATAACTGTCATTGGCAAAATGTTGAAAATCCCGCTAAATGTTGCAATGTCTCTGCCAGAGTGACCATTTTTAACAATGTCTGGTGCATGTCAAGCTAAATGAATTTATATTGAGTTCAGAGGCAGTTTAATTAACCCATAGCTCAGTAACTGCTGCTTTTTTATATGCCATCACTAAGTCACAATTGGTAAAACCAAACTTCACTCTAAATGTTCACTAGTGAAATAAAAAGTTGGATTAGTTGGTGTTGGTTCCTGATAAGTTAGGGGTGGGGGGGGCACAAAAAATACAGCACACAGGAAAAAAGCAGCATGGTCATGTGACCTCTTTCTTGTGTACTATATTTTTCGTGCCGCCCTAATTAAGTTGTCAAGTTCACAAGTGTGTCAAGAGGATATGCACGTGTGATCAGTGAAGCGACGAACACCACTCGTGTGTGGTACACGTATAATATTGTTACGAGAAGGTCTCCTTCTCGTAACATATTTTGTGGAGTTGTGCTATCCCCGTCCTCGCCACGGAACTCCAAAGTGAACGCTCCCTCGCAGCTTTCAACATGACCACTCAAGACTCGGCTACATCCTCCCCGGTCACCCGCCCTTCTGCCCGGCCTGTTTACCCAGCACCTCCACCAAATATGTTACGAGAAGGAGACCGACTTGGTGGGTAGTCACAGATGTATTTATAGCTGGTTAAGTGAGCAGGGCCAGCCGCAGAGATTAGCTCGGGCCAGTCTATATGCTTTTTTTTATTTACTTCCATGCACTGGCATGTAGCAATATATTGTTCTAATGAATGACGTCATCCGGCCAAGCGTAAGCGCTATACAGACCTAGACCACGTGCTGTGGCGTTGCCCCTCATTATGGGGCACGGACCGATCCAATGATGACAAGTGGCTATCCGCTCTCAAAAGCCCCGATGACGGGAATCAACTGTGGGCTGTCCAGAGGGCCCACGATGCGGCGGTCGGGCTTGGCCTGACTGTCCCAACGTGGGAGCGGACCACTGCACGTTGAGCCGTGCACCTCAGGACTTACAGTAAAGCATCGCATGCATCCATCCATCCATCCATTTTTTTTTATACAGGCAATAGGCACACCTGTAATCACGCTGGCTCTGTGAGTTGTATGGTCTGCTTTCTGTGGTATGAATAGATCTGGGCATCTTCTCATCGATATTTGTTCAAGATTGCTGCGTCAACTACACATGTAATTGCTATTGGCTGTGCATTTTGTGCCACGATCGAGGCTCCTATATAAGTGCTTGAATTTCGATGTAATTTTCACCTTCGTTCGGTGAGCATAAACTTTCTTCTGCTGCGACGTTTCCTCTCCAGGCAGTTTCATTCATGAAATCTTTGATTACATTATATGCTTCTCAAGCCTTCTACGGGCCACCTGTAATTTTTTTCACGTGAGAGCAAGACGGGTAAATGGGTAAATTAGTTTTTTACAGCATTGAAAACGATAACCAATGCCCCCTCAATTTCGGTACAGTTGTCTCACTATAACTGTTATAACTGCTGGTCATTAAAGGTAATTGACTAGTTTCTAGGAGAAGGCAAATGCGTGAGAGAGAGACAGAAAATTAGGTAGGCTGATGAAACTAAGAAGTTTGCAGCTATAACATGGCATCAGAAAGCACAGGATCAGTTTGGTTGGCAGAATATGGGATAGGCCTTTGTCCAGTAGTGGGCATAAACTGGCTGATGATGCTGATGATGTGCTCTTTTGAAATCCAGGATGGAAGCGGCAAGTCAGTTCAAGACATCAGGGCTTGGATAGGTGACGTGCACCAGATTCCAAGCGTCGGCTACAAGATGGCCCGCATGGGCCAATGCTTCTCGTCCACAGAAGAGACGGTGCGCGTCCCTCTAGACAGTGGGGCAAAGCAGGACTTACCGGATATTGTGGGTGGCAGGCATCCACAATCGGGCAACCCTTACATTTTCTCGGATGGCATCGGCATGATCTCGAGGTCGCTTATGAGAAAGGTTTGTTTCTGCATACAATGATCACTGTCTCTGTGGCCATGGAATTATTTTAGTATTTTTACCAATTGCATTATTTTTCTTTTATTGTTAATATACCCGTGTGATCAGTAATACATGTTTTGAAAAGAAACAGCCATCTAAGCCCAAACACAGCAGACAGGGTCAGCTAATTGTAATGGAAACAAATTTTTAAAAAAACCTCCTGTCTGATACAACCCACCCAATTTTTGAAGATTTGAAAAGGAAAGCCCTTTCATTCAAATTTTCCCTGCCATTAAACAAGCAACCATTTTGCACCACGAAAACAATGTGTGAAATAGTTTCTATAACATTTAAAAAGTAGGTTACTGATGTGTTTCTTGCATTTGTTATAATTTATGTTCATTATAAACTAATATCTATTACACGACACTATTAAAATGTTTTAGATTTTCTACCAGGATAACTTGCAAAATCGTCAGATCTGTTTTAGCTGTTCAAGTCATATGCAATATAAAATTTAGTTAGAAAATATGCTTCACACCTGAACTGACACAGTATTGCTCAATAATTCTTCTGTGTTCCCTTAGTGTGTTTATGGCACTGTAATTATGCAGGCATGCAAACAGCTGGGCCTGCCAGAACTGCCATCGGCCATTCAGATTCGCTATGCTGGTTACAAAGGTGTGCTATGCCTGAATCCAAAATTGCGTGGTGATCAACTTCTGCTGCGCAAAAGCATGAAGAAGTTTCACTGCTCGACATCGGACAGCCTCGAAATCGTGCAGGTGTCTGCACCACGTACGTTTCAGTGTCAGTGCCATTGCCTTGAGTTATGGGCATGAAGTTTGTTTGTCTGCTCGTTCATTCATTAATTTATTCATTCATTAATTCATTCATTTTATTGCTCTTAGACATTTAATAAATATGTCTAAGGGTGCGATACTAATAGCTTGTCTTGCATAACATAGACACCGGACACCTGAGATGCACTCGTATGGCCAGAACAAACAATGCGAATTTCTGACATAGGCGCATGCCACAGCTAAGACAGAGTCGCAGCTTTAGCAACAATAGACTAGGGCCGAAAAAATTTTATTTTTTAGCCTAATGTTACAAGATGAGTAATATCATAAGCAAGGTAAGAAGTACGGTTTCATTAGCTGCATAGGCAGAAAGCTTTAAAGCAATTATTCTGGAGGGGACGTCAGGCCAGCTTGCCTTCTCTCCATCTTTCTCTCTCTCTCTCTCCACACACACACAAACACACACACACACACAAAAGGTGTTTCAAAATACGTGTCCGAAAAAGGTTAGAAATAAGGAAAATGAGATTTTGCTGCCTTTACAATTACATTTCTGTGGTGGCAGGCATCCTAAGCTGAGCAGAAGCATTAATTAAGAGAGTAATTGAAGAAATTGAATGAATTAAGTTATGTAATTATTGAAGGCAGGTAGTCAAGTCGAGTGAAAAAATTGCTGTTCTTCGAAAACGCTGTCGCCACTTTGAGATACTGAGAAATCGGATTCGGCTATTATTGTGGAGCTAATGGCGACTTGCGGACTGCTTCACTTAAAATCGATGTTCGCAATGTGTGGAATCTGTGGAGTCCTTTGACTCTTTTAATGTCATGGTTTGTTTGTTTTGTTAAACCATGCACCAGACAGAAGAGAGTGGGCTAAAATGCCACCCCATTTTGGCCATCAATTTCATATGACCATAAATTAGGAGGGTGCGAGTATTAAAAATTTCGAATGTTTTTCGAAACATATTTGCTATTCAATTCGATTTGCACTGGAATTTAACTTTTCTAAATTATTCAAACTTCCCAAAGACAAATAGCTGCAAATTGAATAACCCCCCTCAGATTTTTAATATGCTTCACCTCATTACAATTTAGTATTGTGGCAAAGCTCTTTTTTTGTAAGCACCTGCTGCAGTTGTAGTATTATTGAATAAAAAATAATGTTGATTCCAACGCAGAGATGACATATTTGGCAGTGATGGGGGCTTAATGCTGTCTTAGATATAAAATTTGGACTGGAAGTCCAAAAAATCAGACAACGAACATATTTAGCATCCGAAATTTCAGATGTTCTGTATATCGACATCTATGAGGCAGATTTTAAACTCCGGACTTGAAGGGAGCACACCATTGTGCTCCACATTAGTTGGATTTCTGAAGAAGTTGAAGGAAGAGGAGAGGTTGAGGAAATAGAATGTTTGCCTTTCGTGTGATGTGTTGTTGACAGTACTTTGGTTACAATAAATCATGCACATAAGTATAATTCGGCCTCTGCATTGCCTCATTCCTGATAAGACAGCTATAAAACACCATTGGTCCAGCGCTTCACAAATCTAGCCAAAAGAAACACTTTCATGTCGCTATCTCGTAATGCTTGAAATTCTCCTAAATCCTCTCGAACTCTTTTTTATGCAATTTCACTTCGAAGTAATTGAAAAGTATTCTAGAATGCACTTGAGAAATATTAGAAAAATATTCGATTCGGTTCACACTCGCACTTCAATATTCAATTTGCTTTAAACCCAAGATTTTGCTATTTATTTACGCAGCTCTGTCTATAATTCCTTCAAGGTTTGTACAGTACATTGTAGACAGGGGCAAAAATATTAGTGTTTGTAGCAAAAAGGAAAGGAGGAAAGGAAAAAATGGATTTAGTCAATATAGTGAACAGAGTAGCACTGTGCCACAATAACAGAAAGTAAAACATGGCTTTGATTCGAACACTCTGAACTTAAGACTTTAAAGGCTAATTTAGAGAATCCACTATGTGCGTGTAATAATAAGGAAAGTAAAAAAAAAAGGACTAATTCAGAATACCAACAATGAAAAATGTAAGAACCTTACAGTGCTATACTCCTTTGCAACATAAGATGAAAGAGTCTGCCCAGCCCACACCCATCGCTGTTTCTCCTACAGAGAATTCGCATAGATGTTCCATCCTATAATGCTCACTCATTTTCATGAGGTCAAGCAGTTCTCGAGTGCTTTATATAGTTTGGTTTCCCATAAGGGCACACTTTTGTGTCACTGATTTTACGTCAGAAACATAAACGTCCTGATAAATTTTATCAGGGATTCCGGCATCACTGCTCGGCCAAAGTCCGTAATGACGAACCTATAACTATTATTATGCATAGTATTTACGTTAGGCAAAAAAAGTAATTACTATACAAATGAGAACCAGCTGGCACCACTGTCTTTCATGATTGAAGGGCACGCGCAATACCATTCAGTTGGTAAATCTGACATTTTTTCTTAGGTGGTGACCGAGTATAGACGCAGTTAATTGCACGGAAACCTCATTATAACAAAGTTATATCTTACATGAAATTAGGTTTGTTATATCCAAAAACTTTGTATAAAGGTTTTTTTCTAACACTATATCTATCGCAAGATTATTTTTAATTTACGTTGTTATAACCAATGTTTCGTTATATCCGGGTTTGTTATATCGAGGTTTGAGTGCAGAGCATTTTTGTAGATTGGATCACATATGTCTACGAATGATTAGGGTAGGCTATTATCAACAGAGTGCGCAGGGTTGTATAGCCTGCTTGTTTCTGGCAGGTCCGGTGTACCTCAATAGGCCCCTGATCACCATCTTGGAGCAGCTCGGAGTTCCGGGCCGCGTGTTCCTGCGATTGCAACAGAACATGGTGCTTCGTCTGTGCGATGCCTTTGTCAGCGACGATGAGGCCTTGCAGGTGCTTAGCGCACACGTTCGTACGGGCCATCTGCCACTCGTCAAGTTTCGCAAGAAAGGCCTGGTTCTGACAAGGGAGCCCTTCATTCGTTCACTGTTGCTGGCTGTTTACAATAGCATGATAGGTAAGAGGCCTTTTATCATCACCATGCAAATCGCAGTTACCTTTTAGTTCACATATGGGACCCAGATAGTAAAAAGAAAATGTGCAAAAGATTGAAAATAAGTTTGACCATGCAGGGAAGGCGATATAAAGTTTACTCTTGTTGAAGGCAAAGCTGCACAATCATGAGCGAAATAAAAGGGAATGCTGAAATCAGCTTCCAGGGGTTATAGTGGCTGAATGCAGTCAACAAACATAAATCTTGCAATTCAGCATGTCGTATATGCATCAGTACATCACAAATGTGTTGCTAAAGCATGAACCGAGTGTTCCTTTTCATAATGCCGTCGTGGCAGCAGTTTGCTTACTTGGTAATTGCAAATAGTGGTTTTTGAGACCAAATTGAATATGAATTCAATAGTGCCAGGAATGAATCAAAGGAAATATTGAGTACCTTTAGAATAGTTTTTAATAATTGAATGGTCAAGAACAAATAATGTGTTAACTAGTGTTAGCCCATTACTGACACCGATAAAGTATGATACTTATGCAACACCAGGCAGAATCATGCTGTTCATTCTATATTTACACCAATGGTATGACATAATACAGGACCGTTATGTCCTGAGATCATGTGACTTTAAGCTGTTGAGATCCAGATAAACTTTCCTGCACGTGAGCACTAATGTCTAAAGCACCGCTTAAATGTCAGTTCTCTTTAGGGTAACCAGTAGCAAGTTAAAAAGAACATTTGGGGCAAGAAATTGATGGTAAAAATAAACAAAAGGGCATGTAAAATGAACCACAGGAAATTAATGTTTGTAATTTTTGCAGCTAACCTTAAGAGCAAGAGCCACATAGCAGTACCCGAGGACAGTGGACGCAACATGCTAGGCGTACTGGATGAAACGGGAACCCTAGAGTATGGCCAGGTCTTTGTCCAGTTCACAAGTTTAAGGAGTGGTGACAAAACCTCAAGGCCTGCCACCAGAGTCATCACAGGTATCCTGTATATTTTATCATAACTGCCGATATTTCAAACATTCATAATGGAAGCCAGTCTTCTCATTAGGTTGGAGGAAATGCAAGAGCGGAACGAACGGTGCTATCAACACTTGCTAGGTCAAGTTTGAACTAAGAGATATGTGCTTAACGTTTATCGTGCTTTCTTTTCACTGTTGATTGTCGTTGATATAGGAAATGCATCAAATTAGTGTTCTGATGTTGAAAAATGAGTAGAGAAGAATGTGCCCAATTGGTGTTGTGATTTCAAATGCTAATTCAATTCAATTCAACTCAATTTTATTTCATCCCAAGGATGAGGCAGGCTCGGGAGAAAAGTGACGTTTTGTCACTTGAGGAGAACCCGAGCCTCCCTAGTACATGGCAAGCAACGTGGACATGAGTAAAGAAACATAAGCCATGAACATATAGGCAACGAACATAGGCCATGAGATGTTTAGCGCAGTACAAGTCGGAAGATGCACGTACAGTAATGCTATGTACAGAGACTAATATGCGTAAGTAGTTCGGCAAAAATTCCGAAGTACAATGCAAAATATGACGGAATACAAAATACTATATATATGACAACAATGTTATGCATAGAAATTGCGTGTACACACATACACAATAAATATACACACATATATGCAGATGCATATACAGACACATATATATACTCATACATACACACGCATACATATACATATATATATATATATACGCACATATATACACACACATATATATACACATATATACACACACATATACATATATAGACAGTTCCATGAATGCCTGGACTACCATTTTCTCGATTTTCATGATAAAAGCACTTCCCTAATGTCACATGCACTGCATTTCTCAAGGATTACTTTTGCCTCCAGTAATTGATTTAATAACAAAGGAACACTAAAACATAACATTTGTCGCCCAAAATTTGTTCTACAGAATGGAAGGTTCTAATGTTGTTGGTGACGAGTAGGGTACGAATTAGCATGCGTTTCCAGTTCAAAAATATCTAAAAAGGCACAATTGTTATGAAAAAGAGATTGCTTATATCTTATTGCTAGGGAATACTCGTAAAGTTTGTGAATTGGGACAATATTATAGCGCTGAAACAGTTCATCTGTGTGAGCATAGTAGTCGACATTTGCTATAAACCTGATCGCTTTTTTTTGTAGTCCGTATATTTTATTTATGTTGGTTGCTGTCGTACTTGCCCATACCAAAAGACGATAATTTACATGCGACAAAAACAAGCTGTTATAAAGTGTTAGTTTAACAGAAACTGGAAGAAAATAACGCATTCGTGCAAGTATGCCCACACATTTTGATAGGTTGGTAATTAGATTATTAATCTGAGGATCCCAAGACATTGTGCAATGAAAAAGTACTTCTAATGTTTTAACGGTTTCTACGATTTCGACAGCCGCGCTACCTATACGTAATCTATTGTCTAAGGAAATCAGTCTCTGCGAATGAAAAACTACAGCTTTTGTCTTTGTTGCATTAATAAGTAATGAATTTCGTTCACTCCATGTGTTTAAGCTTTCTCGTGAATGCTCGTTAATTTGGCACTTGTTTATATGGAAAATCGGATAATTCAGACGAGTTTTTTGGTACCAGTCAGCCTATGCATTGTTTAATTATTCAAACTCTCATTAATTCGCTCAAAGTTGACCACAATTCGGTTAATTCAGATGATCCTGACAGCACGCCGAACACCTAGCGCTACAAATGTGTGACATAGAGCAAGAAAAACGGTCTTCGTGAACAGCCAAAAAAGGCCACCAGCTTTTTGAAAGACACGGTCACCATCCGCAATCATGTAAATAAAATGAAAAGGCATTGATGTAATAGAAATTTCTTTACTTTCAACTTTATAGTACTTCCGATAATTTCGAATTCGGTGAATTTGGATAGTTTTTACAGCCCTATGAAATCTAAATTTGCAAGCTTTTACTGTAGTAAGCTGTGTGCGTGTTAACAACTCGCGAAACAAAACCTCATTGCAGGTATGCAGCATTTTATTTTGTTCATGCCTGTCTGCTTTTTGTGTGTGTGTGTTGTTACTATTTCTCTTCACCACGGCACGTTAATCAGCTGCTACCTAATGTGCTAAATGAGCTTTATAGGGCAACAATATTAGAGGTTTTTAGCAAGCTACAAAAACACGTTACGGAAATACAACACAGTTCCTTACCGTATGCGCATACAATGATTGCGCATGCACACTAGTTCGCCGGTTCTGTATTGCCGCATTTCGGTAGCTAGCTAAAAACCTCTATTAGTAGGAGACTCACAGTTGGCATATCATCCTGTTTCCGTTTTACTGTTGCATTCAATACGAGCTGTAACATGTGCACAGATGATGTTGCGTTCATTTGGGCTGCGTGAAAAAATTTTGAGAGGGCATTCGCATTCCTGCACAGTCCATACCCCTGAATTCCATAATGTTTGATTGATTTGTGGGGTTTAACGTCCCAAAACCACCATTTGAATATGAGAGACGCCGTAGTGGAGGGCTCCGGAAATTTTGACCACCTGGGGTTCTTTAACGTGCACCCAAATCTGAGTACACGGGCCTACAACATTTCCGCCTCCATCGGAAATGCAGCCGCCGCAGCCGGGAATCGAACCCGCGACCTGCGGGTCAGCAGCCGAGTACCTTAGCCACTAGACCACCGCGGCGGGGCGAATTCCATAATGTGCCCATTGAGTTGGCCTGCAGAGCACCTATCTCACTCCATAATGAAATTAAAAAAAAAGAGAATACACTCAAGCCTTAATATAACAGAGATGCATCTTGCACGAAAATAAGTTCATTCTATTTAAGAATTTATTGTAAAGGTAATTTCTAGCACTACAGTATTTATTGCAAGATTATTTCTCATTTAATTTGTTATAACCGATATTTCGCTATATCGAGCTTTGAGCTGTGATTCAAAGCCAGCACTCTGCAGCAATGAAGCACGCTGATCTAGAGGCTAAAATCCTCCACACTGCATAGTGGGTCAATGTATTAAAGCTCTGGTTTTTAAGCACAGGGGTGCGTGAATAGCTGGAGTGAAACATCCCTGCACAATTTTTTATGTTACGGCTCCGATGCTGCTTTTCATATTGTGACGAAGGAACGCGTTTATTTACAGGAAATGGTTGAGATCGGTACAGCTCAGAGCCAGAAAACCGGCGACCGAGCTGCTCGTGAGCCAGACCGCTTCCACCTCTTCCTCTTCATGCGCCCATCGAGGTGTGTCATTTCCCCCGTTCGCAGACGATGCCCACTGGGCGAGTCAATAGGAAGGTTGGTGGTGATATGGCTTGAGGCGCGCGACGTGTGTCAGCTGTGTCTTGCTAGAGCGCCGACCATTGCTTGTGACGCCGGAGATGACGTATGTGACGTCGCTGAGACGGTCAATGACTACAAATGGTCCGGAGTAGTGGGCCAGAAACTTTTGGCATAAACCACGTTTGCGGACAGGTGTCCACAACCACACCAGGTCACCCTTTGTGTAGGCAACGGAGTGATGGTGGGCGTCGTACCGGGTCTTGGAGCGCTGTTGAGATGCAATGGTTCGAAGGCGTGCGACGCGACGGGCTTCTTCAGCGCGGCATAGTGACTCGGCAACCGATGTTTCCACATCTAACGTAAAAGGCAGAATGGTGTCGAGGCAACTGCGGGGGGAGCGGGCGTAGAGCAGGAAAAAGGGCGCGTACCCTGTTGTCTCGTGTTTCGCGGTGTTGTAGGCGTATGTGATATAGGGCAGTACTTCGTCCCAGTTTTTGTGCTTGGCATCAACATAAATTGACAACATGTTCGTTAGCGTCCTGTTGGTCCGCTCTACGAGGCCATTCGTCTGGGGGTGATACGGGGTTGCGTGGCGGAATTGGCTGGCAGACAGGCGTAGGATCTCTTCAACGACGTCAGCGACGAACTGACGTCCCCGGTCGCTAATGACGACTCGTGGAGGGCCATGACGGAGAATGATATGCCGAAGCATAAACTGCGACACGTGAAAGGCTGTTGCAGTAGGTATAGCCGCAGTTTCTGCGTAGCGCGTCAGGTGGTCGACGCACACGATGACCCATCGATTGGCACTGGCTGAACGCGGAAACGGACCTAGAAGGTCGACACCAACAATCTCGAAGGGAGAGCTAGGAGGTGGTACGGGATGGAGAAGTCCGGGTGATGTAGTCGTGGGACGCTTGTGACGTTGACATTGTTCGCAACCCGCTACGTATTTTTCTGTGTCGCGTCGCATCTTGGGCCAGTAAAACCTTTGCTGGATGCGATGAAACGTTCTGGCGAAGCCCATGTGCCCACTGGTTGCGTTGTCATGGCAGAACCGAAAAATTTGGGGACGTAGAGTGCGTGGAACTACCAGAAGCAGACGGGCGCCTTGGCCAGAATAATTCTTCTTGTAAGGACGGCGTCATGGACTATAAAAGAGCTTGAACTGGCCGGGTCATTCGCGGAGGCAAACAGGTGATCTAAGCAATGATCCTCGTGCTGTGCTGTCCGGAAAGCCGCGATGTCAGGAAAATGAGAGTCAATAGCTGTGATAAAATCGTCAAAATTATCAGCTTCACACTCGGTCGTTGGTAGAGGAAGCCGTGACAGGCAGTCAGCGTCTGCGTGGCGATTACCGCTCTTGTAGCGGACCGTGAAGTCAAATTCTTGTAACCGTATGGCCCATCGCGCAAGTCGACCAGATGGATCACGTAGGCTCACCAACCAGCAAAGAGAGTGATGATCTGTGATAACTGAGAAACGACGACCGTAGATGTAGGGGCGAAACTTGTGTACGGCGAAAACGACGGCGAGGCACTCCAATTCGGTAACCGTATAATTACGCTCTGCCTTGCTCAGGGACCGGCTTGCATAGGCGACGACGTGTTCAGCATTGTTGTGTCGTTGAATAAGCACCGCGCCGAGACCAACTCCACTGGCATCGGTGTGGATTTCCGTGGAAGCAGAGGGATCGAAGTGGCATAGTATTGGCCCGGAAGTGAGAGCGAACTTTAGTTGCTTAAACGCTGACTCACAATTTGGTGTCCAGTGGAAAGGGACGTCCTTGCGCAGCAAGTCAGTCAGTGGCTGGGCCTTTTCAGCAAAATTAGGTACAAAGCGGCGAAAATAAGAGCATAGGCCCAGAAAGCTTCGTAGCTCGCGGATAGACTGTGGCTGCTTAAACTTGCTGACGGCGTCCACTTTCTGCGGGTCCGGTCTAACACCAGCTTTGTCCACAAGGTGTCCTAAAACCAGTGTTTGCCGTTCACCGAAACGACATTTTTTTGAGTTCAGTGTCAAGGCGGCTTTCTCCAAACATGTTAGAACAACGTCAAGGCGATGATTATGTTCTTCAAAAGTTCGTCCAAAAATAACCACATCGTCCAGGTAACATAAACAAATTTCCCATTTAAGGCCTCTCAAGACGGTATCCATATAGCGTTCAAATGTTGCCGGAGCATTACACAAGCCGAACGGCATAACATTAAATTCAAATAGACCGTCTGGCGTTACAAAAGCCGTCTTCTCTTTATCAACTGGATCCATGGGAATCTGCCAATACCCGGATCGCAAGTCTACCGAAGAAAAGTAGGAAGCTGAATGAAGGCAGTCAATTACGTCATCAATGCGGGGGAGGGGGTACACGTCCTTCTTGGTTATAGAATTGAGACGCCGATAATCAACACAGAACCTCCAGGACCCGTCTTTTTTCTTTACCAAAATAACAGGCGCAGCCCACGGACTTGACGATTCTTGAATTACACCAGTGGCTAGCATCTCGCCAACTTGTTCAGCAATAACTTTGCGTTCGGACACGGACACGCGATAGGGCTTTTGTCGGAGAGGATGAGCAGAGCCAGTATCGATCTTGTGACGAGCGCGCGTGGTCGGTATCTGAGCCCTAGGCACCTTCCGTGCAAAATCAAATACTTTAGCATGTCTCGCCAGCAGTGCAACCAGGTCTTTGCGCTTCTGTGAGGAAATGGACTTGCTAACCATTTTTGAAAATTCAGCTTCCATACCAGAAGTTTCCGGACCCGCCCTTTCAAGATCGCTTAAAGCTCCAATGCAGGTGCTGCTCTGCTTTTCGAACAGGGCAAGGCGCATACCAGCCGGTAGTACAACCGACTCGGGTGAGCTGTTTATCACCCATAATTGAGCCGTCTCGTCTGCGAGAGATACAATGCATCGTGGTACAAAGATGTTTTTCTTGAGACAAGCTACAGGCAACGGCTCAATCACTATGTCACGGTGAATTCAAACTCGAGTTGGTTTCCGAAGTGGTCACTTGTACGCTGGCCGTGGACCACGCTGGCAGAAGTACATCTTTAGCTACAGTGAGGTTACCTTTCTCACAATCAGGCTGCTGGGCGAGAGTAGACAACAGAACCTCACCTGCTCCACAATCCACGGTCGCACGACACTCTCGCAAAAAGTCTATGCCAAGTATAACGTCATGCGTTGATTGAGCCAGTACTGTGAATTCCGCCTTGAACGTTTTACCGGCAACACTAACAGACGCAGTGCAGACGCCGACAGGACGCAAGAATGCGCCGCTCACTGCCCGAAATGTGGCAGGTTTGTCCCAGTGAAACATAACCTTACGGCCTAGTCGTTGCTTAAAAACTAAACTCATCACGGAAACACTTGCGCCAGTGTCTATCAATGCCATCGTGGGAACGTCGTCAACAAGTACCTGAACCTTATTCTGAAGCATAGAAACTGGTGGAGGCATTCTTTGATGAAAATCGGTACGTCCAGCGACCTCACCTCCGTCGGCCGCGCTGGCTAGTTTCCCGGTGGCGGAGACGACATTCGTGACCGGCGCCGTGGAGATGGTGACCGAGGTGGACGGGTGGTGGGCGGCGTTAAGCTGCGCACAGATCCGGGCGAATCACTCCGGTTGATCGGCTGGTAGGCGTGCCGCTCGTCAGTTGGGTTGGGGGGCCAGTAGGTGTAGTCAGGCCGTTGGCTTCGTTGTGCAAACGTCGCGGATCTCTGAGGGAATGTCGAACGTGGATTACGTCGCATTGGGCAAAATCGGGCGATATGTCCACGAACACCGCACTGGTAGCAGACGGGCCGTTCACGGGGCATAGGGAACGTCGCTGGATGTTGAGGGTACGCGGCGCTCTGTTCCCACTGAGACGCAAAAGGAGGTGGATGGCTGTTGTAGCCGTAACGACTGTGGGGAGCATAAGGCGGCTCTACATAAGAAGACGCCGGTGGTGGAGCCCTTAGCTGAGGGCCGCGGTTGGAATAGCTGCGCTCCTCGAACTCGTAGCATTGATACTTGTGGACGGTGTATCGCACGGTGGTTCTCGGGCGTTCAAGGGCGCGTAAAGGTGACGACGAAGTTCCTCACGTACAATGAGGCGAATCGTTGACGAAAGGTCGGTAGGCACGGAGTCTTGGCACACATCGACAGTGGCGACGGTCGTAACATTGGCAAGGCGTCCGAACTTCGTAGTGATGCGGCGAGTCTTCAGGGCCTCAAACGTTCGGCAGTGCCCAATCACATCGGCCACAGACTCAAGACTCTCCTTGCCGATAAGGAAGTGGTAGACGTCTTCCGCAATTCCTTTGAGAATGTGGCCCACCTTGTCCTCTTCCGTCATGTTGGTGTCCACACATTTGCACAGTTTCAGTACCTCCTCAATGTAGGTTCTGCATGTCTCACCACAAGCTTGAGCTCTCTGCGACAACATTTGCTCTGCACGTTTCTTCTTCGTCGCAGGGTCGCCAAAGCACTTCTTGATCTCCTCCATAAACTGGTCCCATGTTGTCAAGGTGTCTTCGTGATTCTCGAACCACACTAAAGCACTGCCATCGAGAAATAGACCCACGTGGGACAACTGGCTGGCCGCATTCCAGCCATTGGCTCGGCTCAACCCGTTGATAGTGGCTGAGCCATTCTTCAACGTCATCGCCAGGTTTTCCTGTAATGTGCGTGGCTCTCGGTAGTGGAAAGACGGCGCCCTCGCGACCGGCTGCTGGATGTCTCCGTCCAAGTTCATATCTTGAGGTAGTGGTGGTAAGCCCGCTAGTCGACGGCTGCGGCGAAGCTCGTGCTCTTGCGGTTCCGTCGTTAGTAGACGGCTGCTCTCCGGTCTCGCTTGACAGTAGCTGGCTTACCCAGCACCTTCCACCACAACTGTGACGAAGGAACGCGTTTATTTACAGGAAATGGTTGAGATCGGTACAGCTCAGAGCCAGAAAACCGGCGACCGAGCTGCTCGTGAGCCAGACCGCTTCCACCTCTTCCTCTTCATGCGCCCATCGAGGTGTGTCAATATGGAATGAAATGCATTGTAAATTCTCATTTGCATTTTGTCATCCACAGTACGAGCAGCAGTGGCTAACAAAGGTTGCAACAGTTGAGAGTGGCTACTTGTTAGAAGTGTTGCCTGTTTTATCAAATGCCACAACATGCTGTACGCCGTCGTTTATTTCAGTGTTAAAAGAGATGCACCTGCTATATTTTGCTGCAAGCCGGCCAGCTGAGACTGCATTGTTTTGTTCGAACAGGCACTGTGCTGGTGACAAAGTGCCCCTGCGTTCACCCTGGCGATGTTCGTAAATTCGAGGCCGTGGACGTGCCCGCATTACACCACATAAGGGACTGCATCGTATTCCCAGCCAAAGGACACCGACCACACCCCAATGAAATGGCGGGTGGGTCCGGTTCACTCTCATATCAGATATGAGTGCGCTTTGTTCAGTTTGTAGTGGTCAGCATTATTCCTGCCACAGTCTTATTTTTCTTTGCAGCTTATGTTTCAAAGAGCTACAGTCTGGTTTCCAGTCCACGAGTATTGTATCAAGTCTGTAGACAGGGAGCTAGGATTACACTTCTCTAGGGGCTAGGGTTACGCTTCTCAACTGCTGACTGCAAGGTATCGGGTTCAATGCCAGTCGTGGTGAAAGGGTAGAGGCTCGTATGTACCTACTATGTTATGTCAGTGCATGTTAAAGAGCACCAGGTGGCCGAAATTTTCAGATCTCCACTATGGTGTTCCTCATAATCATATTGTGGTTTTGGCATGTAAAACTCGTCGTATTACTATATTATTCTGTACTGTTTGAAGACTGCAGTTATCTGGCTTCTACTAGTGCTTGCCAAGGAGGTGTACCACTGAGTGCGCTAAAAAAAAATTTGTGATGCTGAAGTTACCTAGCAAGTTGTCATCAAGGCAAAGTTTCTGAATGCTAAAGTCAAATTAGTGGCTGATTTTCACGGGTCCTGCTGTACGGCTGCTGTCTGCTCATGTTACATTGCGTGAGTTTAAGGGTAAGGATCTGTTTGGTTTGAGTGGGTGTTATTCATTAAAGCTAGAGACAGCAGCGGAAACAGGATAGCATCATGTTCTCTAAAAAAAACAGATACACCCATTGAACGACGACATCACACAAAATAATTTTAATTAATTTTTTTGGAAGCTTTACGCTAAATATAGATATAAACATGCCGTACCTGAATCTTACTCAAGCTCGTAGGTTTCAATGTAACTTGAGAGGGGCTCGATAAAATATGCAGGTCACTTTAGTTGTTCATAGCCTCTACACGCTTTGCGTCGATGCTGCATGCAGGTTCTGACCTGGATGGTGACGAGTATGTGGTCATAGCAGAAAAGGATCTGCTCTTTTCAGGCGACAATGCTGCTCCCATGATTTTCAGTGACCATGCCTTTCAAAGCGGACACGCTGGAGGACTTGGTACGTTTATCTCGCCAGGCTTTCACTCTAAACTTTTGTACACTTAATAATAAGGCCCACTTCATCATTTGTACAGCCATAACTGTAACGTTACTGCTAGGTGACCAGCATCAATGTATAAGCCAATATACATCACTTTGGCAGAGTTAGTGATACTTAAATGTCAAAGTAAACATTACCCACGAAGGGCATGCACATCACAAGAAACATAATTGCTGTGTTGCTTTTGCTTTTTTTTAAATAAGCCTAGTGAGCCAGTTTTTTTATCTTGCTTTTCATGAATGGCATACATTCTTTGATTATTAACACGATTTTTTTATTTCAAATGAGAACATGTCTTGAATATAGCTAAGGGTCAATTAGGTCTTTGATGGAGTACTTACACTGGCTTGTACAAATTTACACTCATCTTTTGCCATACTGAATTGACTTCTTATTCTTAATGCTGCTTACTCTTTAAGACAGTAATCAGTACACATCTTTTATTACGTTATTGCTGCCTCTTTTTTAAACTACCAAATATCCAGGATGAAGAAATGATATCATTCACATGTAACTACATCAAGAATGACAACATTGGCCTCATGTCGAACGCCCACCTTGCGTGGGCAGACCAGCTGCCGGACGGAATATTCTCACCACGGTGCCTGTCTCTGGCCAAGAAAATTGCTACCAGCCTAGATTTTGCCAAAACGGGCATCCCAGCACGTATGGAGAAGTCGGAGCGTGTGTACAGGTATCCCGAATTCATGGAGAAGACGGGCAGCAAGGATACTTACAGATCATCAAGGATCCTCGGGCAGCTTTACAGACTCAATCGGGGACTCGTCACCTCTGGCTTCTGTAGCTGCACCGAGCACAAAGCGCGTAACAGCATGTTTGAGTACCCGGATTGGCAGAAGTATGAGCGCCCTGCCAGACTGGCGAAGGCACTTTACGAGGAGCTCATGAATCAAATTCTTCACAGACACTGGCATTGCCAGTGAAGCCTGAAGTTGTCACGGGACTACTGAGCAGTCTTTCTCCTTACCACAGGGGCAGGAACAACAAGTACAACGTCGAAGCTCACGTGCAGAAGCAGTTTCAGATGCTGGTAGAGAAGATGAGGCAACAGGTTCTTCCGCGATGTTGAGTCCCTCTTCCCAGATGGCAATTTCTCCGGGACAGAGGCCAAAGTGGCTCTGCTACAGATGGCTTCCGCGTGGTACATGGTAACCGTGAACGCAGACGACGCAGCGGAAGTCAACTGCCAAGGTTTTCCCTGGTGCATGTCGGACGTGTTGCTGATGCTTGTAAAGAACAGGCATGCGAAGTGCTCCGAAGTCCAGGGATATCAGATGGCTAGAGCGCTGTTGCGTCGAATCAATGACATGATTACAAGGTCCATGCCCGGTGCATGTCCAGTCACCGTTGCGCTCGACGTGGTGCTCAGATGGGCTGCTAAAGAGGACCTCATGAAAACATCGGGGTCAAATGGGCGCGGAATCTGTCGCACATGCCTGTCTACACTGTTCGAAAACTTCGCTAGTTCCTGCAAGACGGCACCACTACTGTCAGCTGAGGGCTGGCACAGGGATCTGGAAAGGCATGCACGTCTGTTTGGTTGGCCACCCAGAACTGCTGCTGCCTATGTGTTGGCATTCCTGAGATACCTTGTGAATGCGCCAGAACTCGGCTCACTTTGCCAAAACTGTTGGCATGTATATGCGCAAGCACACTTGGTCTCAGTGGCTGCGTTGCGGCGCTATAGCCAGCTGTTGGTGTGTGGGTCTCCGTGTCACCTCAATCTCACACTGAGCCACGACTGTCACAAATCTGTTGACGTTCTGGAGGAGCATGGGCCCATCAGGGTGCTGGTAAGAACTCATTGTCATGCTCTTTAGCTTGCATGTTTCAATAACGTTTCGGCATGAAAAGATGATTTGCAAGCAGTTGTTAAAGGGACACTAAAGATAGAAACGATTTTCCTCACATTAGTAAATTCACTCTTTTCACAATTCCAAAATGACCACGCTTGCCGCGACAACACACTTGGTAAGCGAGATAATGTGCTAAAAAAAAATGCGGTTGGTGGCGCCACCTTGAAATTACCATACAAAACATTGTGATGTCATAGATTTTCACGGTATTTACAAGGTCTCATGTAGATCCTAATTAATAAAAAATGAAGTGAGTTGTCCTGCGAGGGGGCCATAAACTTCACATACTAAGTTTCATAAAATACTATTGAGCCAGTCTCGCCGCCCCCCAAAAAATTAAGTGGAAAGGAAACACTCTAATGTCCATCATGTCACACGAGAAGAATTTTCACTGTGAAATTTAAAAATGAGTCTTTCACCTCGATTCGCTCCTCTGTTAATTAAAATATGGCAGTGAAGTTAATGTAATATCCTTCAGAGTACAATTTATCAGTTCAACCGCGTGCACATCATACAAGCGTAGGGGTATCGTGAGTTCTCACCGCGGTGGGTGATGGTGAAAATGCCGCCCACTGCTTCAATTCACTGCCCTCTGCTCTCGTTACCTATTTCGATAGAATGCCCATCGCTCTGACACCTTTAGAATGCATGCCTGAGGAACCAGGAGCAACTATTTGTGTGTGCATTTTTCTTGCGCCCCGTCGCTTTGGTGCACTATACAATCTACGGCAACTGTGCGTGTGCAGCGCCATTGAGCCGTGCCTCCCGCCACTTGGTTATGTATTAAGGTGTCTGATATGGTGGCCTTTAGAATTGAAAGGTCGCCAACTCCAGTGCCAGTGCTAGAACTTAAGTGCCCTGGGCTCCGCTTTCCAAGTGTATCAGAGAGGCTGGAAATTGTGTCCGTGGGAACAGTAAAATGGGGGCTGGTAAAAAATTTCTGAGGAGAACTTCGCTGTGGGTTTATTACTATTGCCTAGTCAAAAAGCAAACGAAGGCCCTGTAAACTTCCTTTTCGTTACCTCCGATTCAAGCTTGGATACTTTTTTTTAAAAGGGGCACTGCGACACGTTTTCAGCATGGTCAGAAAACGCTGCCGATCGGTATTTCAGTCTCCCGAGAACACGTGGGCTGAACATTAGAGTGCAGCACGCGACCTGGAATTTACGTTGAATTCTCAGTCAGCTAGAAATCGCTCCGTCTTCTCTCAATAAAAGCTGCCTTAAGTCCAAAATAGTCGTGCCGGGATCTGCCTAGTTACCACAGCTGCCGCAAGGTGCCGCCACTTGCTCAAGGACATCACGTGCACTGATGAACTGAAGCATGTTCTTGCCCCCATTGTCATCCCCCTACTTGCATTTCATTTCATTTCATTTCATTTTATTTTCTTAAAGACCCCTTGCGGGGCATTACATAAGGGGTGGGCACATAAAAATTGAGCAGAAAACAATCGTTTGTCCTAAAGTGAAAGATGATTAGTGATACTGGTTGTGAAGGTAGAAGTACAAGTAATGGCAGGAATATCGCCTGAAAGGCCATTCCAGGCAACTGCCGTGCGAGGAAAAAATGATGTTGAAAAAGTAACGGTGCGTGCACGTGGGCGTCCGACTTGAAGTGGATGATTAGTTCGTTGAGAGATGTACGCTGGGGGAACAAAATAAGGTGGCATGCGCATCGAGCTGTGAAAAAACTTATGAAATAACGAAAGACTGGCGATACGGCGGCGGAGGGAAAGGAGGGGCAGTTGAAGTTCTGCCTTAAGTGAAGATACGCTGACGTCACTGGAGTAAGAATTATTGATAAACCTAGCGGCACGGTTTTGAATACACTCAAGGGCGTCTTCAAGATAGGCCTGATGCGGGCTCCAGATTGGGGAAGCATATTCAAGTTTAGTTCTAACAAGGCTTTTGTAAGCTAATAATTTTACATTTCTAGGTGCGTTACGTAGATGACGTCGCAAGAATCCCAATGTTTTGTTTGCCGATGATATGACTTTCGTGATATGCAAACCCCATGAAAGATCGTTGCAGAGTGTGACCCCCAGATATTTAAAGGAATTAACAGTTTCAACTGGAATATTACTGATGGAATATGGAAAAACAAGTGGAGAACGCCGGCGGGTGAAGGATAAGGCTTTGCATTTGTGAGGGTTAAGTTCCATTAGCCATCATCGCACCATTGTTTTACATTGTTAAGATCACTCTGTAGAGCTAATTGATCAGAAGCGTTACAAACAGTGTGGTAATAATACAATCATCGGCAAACATTCGGATTTTACAGGATACATGAGATGGAAGATCGTTAATAAATATCAGGAATAAAATCGGGCCCAGAACCGACCCCTGCGGGACACCAGATGTTACCGGAAGTGAAGTAGAGGTAGCATTGTTAACAGAGACAGCTTGAGTGCGGTTTCTTAAAAATTCACGGATCCACTTTAGGACGTGGGGTGTAGGTTTAAGCGGGAAAGTTTCAACAGAAGGCGTTTATGTGGTACTTTATCGAATGCCTTCGCAAAGTCCAGGAATATGGCATCAGTCTGTACGTTAGAATCCAAGTTAATATGCAAGTCGTGCGAAAACATAGCCAGTTGAGTCTCGCACGACAAACCTTTACGAAAGCCATGCTGCGCGGAATTGAAAAAGTTATTTGAGTCTAGGAAGTCCATAATCCGGGTGTAGATGACATGTTCGATGATTTTGCATGGAATGCTAGTTAATGAAATTGGTCGGTAATTGAGGGGTGACTCTCTAATACCCGATTTGAATACTGGGGTGATATTGGGGTGATTTGAATACTGGGGTGCGTACATTTCAGTGCGCTGGCTGGTAGGAAAGGATAGAAAAAGCGCTTGAAGCGTGTGTAAAATTCTGCCACTCTGCTCGAATTCGACATGGATTGTCAAATAATTTGCGGCAGTCAATTCGCGAGGCAATAAACCTCTTTTGTAGTTGTTCGAAGATTACTTGGAAAAGTGTTGCAGGGCCCCTCTAGGCAAGCGTCATAACGTACGTTGTCCGGCTGTTTTTCAACACCCTGCTCCTGCCGTTGCGCAGTTCGAGTGTTGCACCTTTTGGCAGACTAGTAGTGTGGAGAAGTTTGATTTACAGAACGCATATGGCTTGCCATCGAAAATTGCATGGCAGGTTCGCAGAACTCATTGATCTTAAATGCTTTTTTGCTATTGGCCGTCCGACATTCTTAATCTATAGCTGGAACGTTCTTCTATATGAACGATTCTAGCGATGAACATTTTTGTGAATACCGGTCATGTTCACTGACTTGCATGCTCCATACCGGTTCTTTCAGTTTATGCTCGGTCAAAACTTTGCGTACGTTCGTTTTACGGGTTCGGGTTGAGAGGAGAGGGGTGGATTGTGGGTGGAATAAACGGCGCTGAAATGCGGTGTTTCCAAATTTCGCACCAAGGGTCAGTCAAAGGCGTAACCAAAAGGTGCCTTAGCACAGAAACATGCCTTAGCACTGAAACAGAAAAGGGCTTATCACCACCATTTGCGCAATCCGTCCATTCAAAATTTTCGTAAGCTTAAAAAACTTGCATCTCAATTAAAAGGTGCTACGACAGCTGCGAAAACTGCATATTTTCAGTCATTTCAATCACGACTTCAGCAAAATAAAAAGGAACTATGGAAATATGTGAAAGGAAAGAAAAAGGACTCTGTTTCAATCCTTGCTCTGGAACAGAATGGCGTTGTCATTGAAAGTGCTGCTGAAAAAGCTGAGAGCTTTAATTCGTATTTTACGTCTGTTTTTTCCTTACCAGGTACGAAAACAAATGTGTACCGTTTATCTGTACTTTCTTCGGGCGAGACTCAGATGGAGGATATTGTATTTTATAGCCAAGGAGTTGAAACCCTGTTAAAGCGCCTGGATGTATCAAAAGCTTCTGGACCTGACGGACTGCCTAACGCTCTCTTGAAATCCAGTGTGCACATAGTGTCTCGGTATTTAGTAATAATTTTCGAAAAATCTTTACGCGATTTTGCCTTATCTAGTGATTGGAAATTGGCTGCTGTTGTACCTATTCACAAATCGGGACCACGAGAAATTGTTTCAAATTATCGTCCTATATCGTTAACAGCAGTTTGCTGCAAAATTTTAGAGCATGTCTTATACTCATCAATAATGAAGCATTTAGAAGCCAATTCCATGTTAAATGAATGGCAACATGGCTTTCGCAAGGACCATTCCTGTGTGACCCAGTTTTTTACTCATGAATTTACTCGTTGCATGCGCACTGCACAACCGAACCCTATTGACTGCATTTTTTTATTTCAGAAAAGTGTTCGATTTGGTTCCCCATAATTTATTTTTGCAGAAAATGACCCAATAAAAGATTAACCCGAAAGTTATTAACTGGATAGCAGAATACTTAAATTTCAGGCAGCAGTACGTCGTCGTGAACGGTGAACAGTCATCCACTACCAATGTGACGTCTGGGGTCTCTCAGGGGTCAGTACTGGGCCCATTATTGTTTTTAATGTATATTAATGACATCACCCTGGGCGTACAATCGTCGATGAGAATGTTTGCAGATGACTGCATCGTTTATAGAGCAATAAACTGCGAAAGTGATCGGGGCGCAGTTCAAGACGACTTGGACAAGATAAATGCATGGTGGAAAAAATAGCAAATGCAACTTAATTTGGAGAAGACAATGTGCATGACGTTTTCTAGAAAGAAGGATGAAGCTTCACCTTCGTATACTATAAACAAGAAGGTCTTAAAAATAGTCTCTGAGTATAGGTATTTGGGCGTATTTTTCACGCTAACTTTGTTTTGGCACCGTCATGTTGATTATGCGACAGCTAAGGCTTGTAGATAGCTGTGGTTCCTGCGGCGAAACACGCGTGAGTTTCCCCAGTCCACGCAGGAATTACTGTACAAATCATGCGTGCGGTCGATACTTGATTACGCGAGTAGCGTATAAGACCCGCCCACTGCCCTCGATAAAGCTAAATTGGAAAAAGTGCAAAACATGGGCACCTGTTATGTCCCGGGAAACATTGTTAAGAGCCACAACTTCAGCATCACGCGCTGCAAGTAAGCTTTAGGATGGGAACAGCTGGTCACACGCCGGGCTAAGCAGCGTCTGAAGTTTTTCCATGATGTATACTTATCTCGAACTTGTATTCCTCGTGACAGTTGCATCTTTCCACCTCATTACGTGTCTGAACGAGTCGATCACATTTACAAAGTGCGGGAGTACCGATGTAAGACAGCAGCGTTCAGGAATTCTTTTTTCCCTAAAACGGTTTCCCAGTGGAATCGATTACCTTCAGCGATCGTTGTCCCTGTTGGTGGTGATTCATTTTTTTCCTTTGTTAGAGTCAAGTGAATTGTTCAGTTGATGACAGGTGTTGTGTTGTGCGGTATACATATTGTAGTTGTTTTCGTCTTACTGTATGTTGCCCGCTGGCATTTTTCGTACATTTTTGTCAATCTCCATTACGTTGTGTATTCAGTGTACTTCCTACTATATCTGGATAGGCTGTACTGTACTTGCCGCAAATTGAGTTTGTGTTCTGTCTTGTAATCATGTTGTATCCCCCCCCCCCCCCCACTGCAATGCCTTATGGCGCTGTGGGTAACAAATAAACAAATAAATAAACAAGTGGCACAAGACCCCCCTCCCGTAATTTTTGTCGTTTTTGTATAGGGAGCGAAAAATGACCATTTCAAGGTGGTGTCCCTCCGGAAGCCAAGAAGGTCCCCCCTCTCCCTGAAAAAAATTCTGTCTCCTCAATTTTTTATTTTTTATCATAAATTTACTGAGTCAAACATAACATTTCAAACATCAATGATCAACTTTTACCAAGTGATATAACTTCAAACATAAATGACCAGCTTTTACCTTGTGATATGTCTAGCACTTGAATCGGCAGAAACACGCTTACGCTTCGAAAAAGTCACAGTTTTGCCTCAAAGGCAAAGCAATGTATGCGATAGCAAAAAATTGGAATTTTTTGCTATCGCAGAAGAACGCATGAGGAGAATGCTCAGGCAGGATGAGCACGAACTGTCAGAGTTGCTTCAGCTAGCTCATACTTTGGCTCTTCTCAGGGGCATAGCCAAATAATTTTTTTTTCGGGGGGGGGGGGGGGGAGGCACATTCTTGATTTCGGGAGGGGTGCCCTCTTGAAATGGTCATTTTTCGCTCTCTTATATCATGGCGAAAAATATTTGGGGAGGGGGGGGGGGGGGCACGGATTCGGTGTGCCACTCCTGGCTACGCCTGTGTCCAGGTTAGACAATGCATAAAGGTTTCATATTGTACATTGTCACCCGTTTTGTGGTCTGCTCGCCTTCCCAAGCCTTTCTAGTGTTCCAGAAGTTACTAAGACAGCTTCACCTTGGCGTCACAGACTGCGACTTGGAGGCAGATACGGGTCACGCTTAGTAACATTGGGTCATGGCGTGTGTGTGTGGACGGGGGGGGGGGGGGGGGGGAGTTGAAACTCGGCAACTTACTTTTTTTTTTGTACACGCGTACATAGAAAACACAATCGAACATAAAAGGTGGTTGCAACCCCGGGGCAATTTTGGTTACGCTGCTCAGAGGAGCCAACCCCATCCAAGCATGCAGGCAACTCCCACCCCCCCCTCACTTCGTTGAACGGAGAGGGTCTTGCTGTGTGTAGCTCAAGGTCGTTGCCGCAACCAGTGAACGCAAATATGTCTATAGCGTAAAATGCCACTCCACAACACGTGATCAATTGCCCATCACGCACTTCAGGGACAAGCCCCTTTGCGCGAGAAATTCCCGGCTATGACACTATGGCCTGTGTAAAGCTTCGAGAGATACTTGTGCGCACACAAAGGCACGAGAGATTATACTTTTAAGATATCAGGCGTCGTACATAGAATACCGGTTCTCAAGTTTCTGGCGCGAAAGGTACGCTCCGCATGTGCTCCTTTGTTCCCGCTATACTTTGCTTAAATGATTTGTCTCTCTCTCTCTCTCTCTTCTTCACGAGTGAAGATCGACATAGGTCTGAGTCAGCCCTCCCTGCCTCCCCTCCCCATTACTTGCACAACCATAGAGTTTCCCACAATACTTACTAGAGGGAACTCTGGCGCTAGTGCCTATGGGAGTTGCAACACACGGCGCTTCTACGAGCATGGGAATGATGGGTAGTACACACATTTGTCTAATTTTCGTACTTCTGGCCTGCTTCTGGCTCCCTGTGGCTTGGAGCTGTTTTTTCACGAAAACATAAATTAGCAAATGCTCACCATTTGCGCTTCACAACCTTATTCTTTTAAGCTTACTATTTCGAATCGAGTCCCCAAGTTCAAAAGGGTTTGTTTTTTTCTTTCAAAACAAAACTGAAACACTGCAATAAACGAAGCCGCAAGTACGATTCGCCGCCCGCAAGTACGAAGACTAGGCAAATGTGTGTACTACCCATCATTCCCATGGTCGCTCAACGATCGCAGCGCCAGAGTGCCCTCTAGTTAATTTAGCGAAACGGTTCCTGGAATAAGGGACCCTCCCACCTTCACTCACAAGCTTCTTTCAATAAATGTTTTCTCTCTCTCTCTCTCTATGTGCACAACCTGCAACCTCGTCGTCTTCTGCGTGGATTGATGGATGGATGGATATGGCTGTACCCTTTAGATCGGGCGGTGGCTAGCGCCACCAAGCCGTAATACTTAATGAACCCAAAACTATATTTATTTTTTTTCCTTAAAAAGTGAGTTTGAGGATTCGTACTTTGCAGTGAAGAGTGTAATTTTCACTCGTGCCTTAACTTTAGCCACCAATCAGATAACCTCCTTCTAGTTAAGTCTACTTGCTTAAAGTCTATTTTGCCCTCCCGGTCCCTAAACCCCAGTGCTTTGAAAGACTCTGCGCCATCGTCCTGAACTATAGGGTGAAGCCCTTTACAGAACATTATCAAGTGTTCGGCAGTTTCTTCTTCCTCTCCACACGCACTGCATACTATGTCTACCCCTTCGTATTTGGCCCGATATGTCTTAGTTCGCAGTACTCCCGTCCTTGCCTCAAACAGTAGAGAACTACCCCGAGTATTATCATAGATCCTTTCCTTGGCAATTTCCTGCTTAAAAGTTCGATAGATCTCTAGTGCGGACTTCTTAATCATGCCAATTCTCCACATGTCAGTCTCCGTTTCCTTCACTTTCTTCTTAACCGATAGTTCCTTTTGGTTTGGCCACCTGCTGTTTTCTAAGTATTTACCAGTCAACATCCTGGTTCGCTTCCTCCATTTTGTATCGACATTCTTCATGTACAAGTAGCTGAAAACCTTCCTAGCCCAACGCTCCTCCTTCATTTCTCTCAACCACTTCTCAAATTTTATCTTGCTGCTAGCTTCCCTGCCCTCAAATGATGTCCATCCCATATCACCTTGTACTCCCTGATTTGGTGTTTTCCCGTGAGCTCCTAAAGCAAGCCTACCTATTCCACGTTGCTTAATTTCTAATCTTGCTTGAACTTCTGATCTCATGCACAAGACCGCATTGCCGAACGTCAGCCCAGGAACCATGACCCCTTTCCATATTCCTCTCACAACATCATACCTATTGTAATTCCACAGTGCCCTATTTTTCATCACTGCTGCATTCCTGTTACCTTTAGTCGTCACGTATATTTCGTGTTCCCTCAGGTACTCGATCCCATTCCTTATCCATACGCCCAGATATTTGTATTTATCTGTTATCTCTAGCGTGACCTCCTGTATCCTAAGCTCACTACCTTCGTTGTCATTGAAAATCATGACTGCTGATTTTTCCTTACTGAATCTAAAATCTAACCTATCTCCCTCATTACCGCAGATGTCCATCAATCTCTGCAAATCTTCCTTGTTGTTGGCCATTAGCACTACATCATCGGCGTACATTAATGCTGGTAGTACCTGATCAATAAGTTTTCCTTGTTTGACTAAAGAGAGCTTGAAGCCCAGCCCACTTCCTTCTAATTTTGCCTCTAATACTTGTAGGTACGTCATGAATAATAAGGGTGACAGGGGGCACCCCTGCCTAAGCCCCCGTTTTACCTCTGCAGGCTTGGATACCTGTTTTTCCCACTTTATAACTACCTTGTTACCTTGATAGATACCCTTTAAAAGATTAGTGACTACATGTTTCACGCCTAGTGTGTCCAGTATTCCCCACAATTCCTCTTGAACCACGCTATCGTACGCTCCCTTGATATCCAAGAATGCTAGCCACAGGGGCCTGTGTTCCTTTTCTGCTATTTCGATGCACTGCGTCAGTGAGAACAGCTTTTCTTCCAACCTCCTGTGTTTCCGAAACCCATTCTGCAGTTCCCCCAGCACCCCCTCATCCTCTATCCACGCCTGCAGTCTTTCCTTTATAATCTGCATCGCCAGCCTGTAGACCACTGATGTCACTGTTATAGGACGGTAATTGTTTATGTCAGCTTTGTCCCCCTTTCCTTTATAGATCATGCTCATCCTGCTAAGTTTCCATCCATCGGGAACTTCACCACACGCAGGTGCAGAGCGCCGCCTTTCTGCGCCTGCTGAAGGTGGGCAGCGGCGCGGCGCGCTTGCAGGAGACGCTCCGCCGCTTGTCCGGCGCGCAGGCGGTGCGCATCCGCTGCAACTCGAGCACGTCGGGCGGCCGCCAGTACGCGTTCGTCTCCGCCAGGGGCCGCCACTGGCAGCTGTGGTTCCTCGAGGAGCTCCTGCTCCAGCCCTGGTTCGAAGACGCCGTCGTCAGCGGAGAGCTCGGGCGGCAGCAGCGCTGAGACCAATCGCATTTCGTGTGAGCACTGACGTCACCTGAAACCGCTGTGAAGAGAAGACGCTGACCACGATAACATAAAAAAGAAGCGAGACGTTTCGGCTCCAGTACGGGAGCCCTACTCGAATGAAAAATCAGTGCGTGAGCATGCGGTCACGTATGTTTTTTTTTTTTCTTTTCGGGAATAGGTATACGTTGAATCAACAGCTAGCATGCGGAAACGGGACGTTTGCGATGTTGCGTTAATACTGGATTAAACGTGAAAAATTGCACGGGCACGAAAAGTTATCACGCAGGACTGGTGCTGACTTCCGACTGAAAATGATGTATCTGTGAGAACATACATACATACATACATACATACATACATACATACATACATACATACATACATACATACATACATACATACATACATACATACATACATACATACATACATACATACATACATACATACATACATACATACATACATACGGATGGACACACAGACACGCACGCTCGCACATACACAGGAAAAAAAAAGTGCGCTGACACGAAAACAGCATTAAGAGCCCAGCATGGTGGCACTCAAACCCAGCCGTGAAATAGTTTATATATACAACGTTCTAAAGAAAATTATGAAGTAGAGGTAGCAAGCGAAAAAAAAACACGCCCGAGCAGGGGCTCGAACCCTGGACCGTTAGGTTAAAAGCCTAACGCTCTACCGACTGAGCTACCCGGGCTACAAGAATTGACGTTCTTATACCGTGGGAAAGCGCACAAAAAGGTGAGGGGGAGAGGGACGAATGAAATCGAGGATGGTTGTGCGTGTGGTCCGAGTACGCGAAATTTAGACAGGACTTTTCGTACTCATTGTGTCAATTTGTCGTCGCTGCTTCGCACGATAGCTATGCATGATGCTGAGAAATGTTTCTGTTATTATTATTATTATTATTATTATTATTATTATTATTATTATTATTATTATTATTGGCTGCTAAGGCTCGTGTCCTTTCTGTACATTCATTTGAAAGCATGATTACAATTTTTATATTGTTGAAATAAAGCATGCTTATCGTAACTATGTGGTTCCCATTGCGAGTTGTGCGTCATGCAACCATATAAGGGCGTGTGCAGGGTTAGCCTCCAGATGGGGCGAAGGTTAGTCGCAGCAACCCTCCCCCCCCCCCCCCCCCGTCTCTACTATATCAAGGTACTGGCTGACTTTGCGCCTCTGCCCTCCTCCGTGCACGTGCACATGGGCGCCACCCTTGTGACTCTACCCTCTTGTGCGTTTTAAATTCACGGCGCTGTGAATAACCAAACAGACCAGTCAGTTACTCCAACAAGTCACATTAATGTTACCAGAACGTCACATGAAGGTTCTTTCGTTATTCACGCAGAGAGGCGTCCTACCACGCGGAAGCCCGGTTAACCACATCTTGGTTGTCATCGAGGTCGCCATCTTGGAGTTCCAGTTACGTTCGGAAGGCTGCGCCCATGACGTCACGCGATCGATGACGGTTCCGTTTTATTTCACTTGTTAGCCCCTAATAAAGATTAGTTGGTTGCTACTGCGATGGTGTCTTATTTATCGCATGCGTAACCAGCGCCGACACTGTCGTCGCAGAAGTAGCCACCTTGGAGCACCAAAATGGTGGTATAATGGTGGGCAGCGAATTTAGTGACGTCACATTCGTGTCATTTTGTTAATCGCATGCTGGTTCCTTCGTTATTCACAGGGAACAGGGACGTAGAGAGGGGGGGGGGGGGGCGTGTAGGCTTAAACTTTTCCTATCTTTAATCTTTCTTGGGGACCTTCGACGCAAAAGTTTTGGTCTGTCTGTCTGTACATTTGTCTGTTTGTCCCATCTTAACAGCACCGGTACTTGAAACGGCCGACCCCATCCGCAGCGCCCACCAATGTTGCTCAAGGTTCAGCGCTCATACTTGTGCAATTGTCAATTAAAAAAGCAATTATTGTGAATGTCTGGGGCACCGCAACAGCACGTATATATTCTGCATGTGCGTCTTTTACTAGAAAAGGCATACATAAGTAATTTTCAGAACCGTAGCGCTTATCACGTGACCATGACACGCTTGCACGAAACGGCATGTTTCCAACGCTTTGTTAAGACGAGACGGCGGTGGCACCCACCCGTCGCCTTGCGTTCTACACCTTATCACCCCCGAGACGAGCACGCTTCGTTTTCCAAGAAAACTGCCAGATGGCGCTCATGTATCACGTGTGACGTCACTTGATGCGTTCATTTGCCTTCGCTGCACGCTCGAGGCACTCTAACGCAGCGCCTCCAAAATACCATTCGCCGATATTTCTTGCGCAGAAGATCAAATGAATTGTTCACTCTCTCCACACGCAAGACTATCGTTTTTCGGCGACACTTGCAGATTTACATGCAGATACGGGCCCATTTTTTTTTTTCAGTTTTGCTTGCTTATGTATACGTGCACACATATAAACGCATGCATGAACATTAGTGAAGTGTATTGTCTATCGCCCCCCCCCCTTCAAAAAAAAAAAAAAGAAGAGACTGGCTACGCTCCTGACAGAGGACAAATAACGTTCCAGCGACGTCACTGTCTCACTAAAAGCGGGTTAATCGCCACGTGATCATTAAGCCGCCATGTTGGTGACATGCGTGCGGTGCGTCCATGCATGAAGTCACGTGCAAGCCGTCAATAGCGGTTGTGATGCCCGCCTGTTGACCGGAAGGCTGCATGCGGGATCGAATCACGGCCGCATTTCAATGTAGACGAAATGTGAGAAGCCTGCCTTCTTATAGGTACACGTTGAAAACCCAAGGCGGTCGAAATTACACGAGCCATTCACTACGACGTCCCACTTAATCGTGCAGTTGTTTAATCAGTTTAAACTGATAAATTATAATCCTAAATCCAATTTCACTGCCATAAGTTCATAATTTCATCGCCACTGAATAGCAAAATCAGGCACTTCAGCGTCTCCACAGCACACGTAACTGAAAAGCTTCGCGGCAGTCAATACGGGACTCTCTCGCTGGATTTCGTGGCGACCGGTTGTGCCCTCGCTATCTACGACGACAGCGCAGCTCTGGCCGACTGGGCTTCCCCTATACGCCATCTACTGTCACCGACAAGAGCTCTCGCCGAGTGGTGCCCCGTCCTCGGACTCCTGCGACCGTGTCCATCTTTCCTGTCTTCTCCTTACTTCTGTCGTTCGCTGTCCATGCGCCTCGCTCTCTCCTTCCCCCTCTCTATCTCTATACCTTTTAATCCTGTTCTTTTAATCCCTCCTTACCTCCACCCCTCGTGAGCTATACTGTTGAGGTGTCCTCTCCTTGAGAGACAGTTACGGGGCTCACTTTTATCTTCCTTTCACTGAAGAATCACATAAGAAGTCAATACGGATGTACTCATCCGTATTTACTGTCATCTCATTCAAGTCCGGAAGTTCGTGCATTAAATGCGTTAGACAAAGGCATCAACACAGTAAACAACGAAAACCAACAGATGTTGAAACCAATAAAAGTATAGGGGGTATGCACTGACGTCACTGAGGCCGCCATTTTGTAGTACAGAAAGCGCAGAGAAAGGCGCGCTTTCGTTCCTTAATCTGCTTATCTTCAGAACAGCTGTAAGCTGCGAATTGTACATCAAAATGACGCGCGGAGACGTCACATGAATACCCACTATAGCGACGGTAGATGTACTGTTATAACGATACAGCACAAATTATGAAGTAAATGTAAAAAAGATGGATGAAAAGATGGAAGATGGAGGTGGATGAAAAGTAAAAAAAATATTTAAGAATGTGCCTCGCGCTCCGTGACGCCATCTGGCAAAAAAAAAAAAAAAAACTGTTCGTCCCTGGTCATCATGGCTGTGCGTGGCGCTGACCATAGAGTTTCCTAATATACACTATAGAGAGAACTCTGGCGCTATAGTGTCTATGGGAGCTGCAACGCACGGCGCTTTAGCGAGCATGAGAATGATGGGTATAGTGCACACATTTGTCTAATCTTCGTACTTCTGACCTACTTTTGGCTCCGTGTGTGGTCGTGTGGCTTGGAAGCTGTTTTCTCGCGAAACAAAAATCAGCAAATGTTCAGCGGCTGCGCTTCACCACCTTACTACTTTAGACTTATACCTTTCCAAATCGGGTCACGAAGTTCAAAAGGGTTCGTTCTTTCCTATCAAACAAAACCGAAACACGGCAAACATATAAACCTAATCTGCTCGAAAGCGCTCCGAAAATTGGGCTTCTTGAAGCGAACGTTAAAAGATGCAACTCACGAATGCAAACTAACAGCATACAAATCCCTGATACGGCCTGTTCTTGAATACGCCTCCGTTGTCTGGTCACCTCACTGCGCATGCGACATATATAGCACACTTGGAAGGTGTTCAAAAAAAAAAGCAATAAGATTCATATATCACCGTTATGATCACAATTTTTCGCCTTCGTCACACGCTGTACGTCTATCACTCAGATCACTTGAACACAGACGTACTTGTGAGCGTATCGGCACTTTACATAAAATCGTGAACAAGATAATCACCATTGACATGCCCTTTTCCTTTGACAACTCCGTTGCAAACACTCGCAGGTCAAACCCCATTAACATCACACCCTTCATGCCATTTCTAGATTGTTTTAAGTTTTCATTTTTGCCTTTCACAGTGGAATTGTGGAATAATCTGGATGTTTCTCTCCGAAAGTTGCCTACCAATAGTTTTTTGAATGAACTACCAAACCATGTGTTTTGTTAGTTTAGTGTGTATTCACTGTTATGGACCCACTCCTGCAATGTCTCGAACTGTGAGACAGCAGTATTTGTAAATAAAAAATAAAAAAAATGAACGAAGCCGCAAGTACGATTCGCCGCCTGCAAGTACGAAGACTATAGGCAATTGTGTCTATACTACCCATCATTCCCATGGTTGCTGAACGATCGCAGCGATAGAGTCCCCTCTAGTTAATTTTAGGAAACTTTATGGCGCTGACTGGCACACTCAGAACATAGGTACCATACTCTCAGGTTCGCAACACCCTATAAATTGGTAGGGGGGATCACATCCGCCATTGCTTAATTGGTAGAGCATCCGGTACGCCATGCGAAGGTTGCAGGTTTGAGTCCCTGCCGTTGGCAAGTCGTGTTCTTCTTCACGTGAATGCGTGCAGTACACGTATACCTGCAGTACACGTCTATACTTCCTGCCACTATACGGTCTATACATTGATCTGCAAGTTCGGCGATGCAACGGGCGAGCGCCGAGGCCAGTTGCGATTTGTCACTTCGCACTCTCCTCAAAACGTTTTCCCATAGGCTGGCTAGCTAAAGAGCGCAGCCGATTGGTCGCTCAGCAGCCAATCGACGTCGAGGGGAGGCGCCGCCGCATGCGCCGCTCCGCATCGATTGGGACGCGTCGCGCAGCGCCGCCACCGCGACAACAGTCGCGGGTTCGGCATTCGAAGTCGGGCGATCATCCCGCAGGGTTCCGGCGACTGGCGGCCGCGAGGACAAACCCGCTGTGTTGGAAACGGCGTAAGTCTTGCTTGCTCATTTATTCTTTCATGCTTACACGGGATTTTCGACCGAGCTGCAAATTAGTAAGCTAAAGCAATAATTTACACGCAATTACGCCAGAGTGATTGATTGATTTGTGGGGTTTAACGTCCCAAAACCACCATATGATTATGAGAGACGCCGTAGTAGAGGGCTCCGGAAATTTTGACCACCTGGGGTTCTTTAACGTGCACCCATATCTCAGTACACGGGCATACAATATTTCCGCCTCCATCGGAAATGCAGCCGCCACAGCCGGGATTCAAACCCGCGACCTGCGTGTCAGCAGCCGAGTATACTTAGCCACTAGACCACCGTAACGGGGCTACTCCAGAGTTATCCTTTCAGTCGCTAAGCGATTTTTTTCTAAACAATAATATTACATGTCGGGGGTTCAACGTTCAAAAACGAAGTTAAGATTAAGAGAGACGCCATGGTGGAAGGAACGGAAAATTTAAACCACCTGGGCTTTTTTTTTTTTTTGTAATGTACATCTAAATCAAGAATTACGAGCGTTTCGCTTCCGCTGAGATACGGCCATCGCGGCCGGGATTCGAACCCGAGACCTCCGAATCGGCAGTCAAGCACCATAACTTCTACTATCTCGGTAGGTGCATTTTAAACAATTATAACAATATAAAAAAATTGCAATACTGAATTGGTCTAATGTCTGCAATATTTCATCAAAGTCACGCGAAATCTCGGCAAACTTGAACGAAGTTTATTGCGACTTAAACGAAAAGCACGTACTACCACGAGTGCTGGAACCGTAGCCTGTACATTTTCACATGCATTCAGACCATCGGTTGTTAATTGCATAATCACATGAATTCTCGGTATGTGTAGCTCGAGGTCGTGTTGTATACGCGTTGAATCGAAACAAGGTGAATGGTTGAGCAACGGCCGGTTTTGTCGGAGAACTGGACAAACCGTCTGCTGCTTTAAAAATAATAATAAAAAATGCAATGCGAACTTTTGTCATTTGGTCAAATTTGCAGAATACAACAGTACCTTATGTAAGGTTCGTTTCTTGTAGAAGCGCTCCTGGTGTTCACTCACTTATAGATGTTTGCGTCGCAAATACCAAGTCATCAAGTTGTCCCTCAAAAGCACATGCATTACATGAACTCCGAAAGTACGCAACATCATTGGTGTTATTGTTACAGTGAAGGCTGCTATCCATCTTGGTCGCTGAAAAGCAGTTCAAGTGTGCAGTTTTTGCAACGCCCCGCCGCGGTGGTCTAGTGGCTAAGGTACTCGGCTGCTGACCCGCAGGTCGCGGGTTCGAATCCCGGCTGCGGCGGCTGCATTTCCGATGCAGGCGGAAATGTTGTTTGCCCGTGTGCTCAGATTTGGGAGCACGTTGAAGAACAGCAGGTGGTCGAAATTTCCGGAGCCCTCCACTACGGCGTCTCTCATAATCATATATGGTGGTTTTGGGACGTTAAACCCCACATATCAATCAATCAATCAACGCGCAGTTCTTAGCCGTGTCTCTTCTTATATTTGAGGAACGAGTGCGTCATTCTCTCCTGCACGTTTTGCCTCTTTTCGGCACAGTTCATGGCGCCATGGGGGGGGGGGGGGTCTGTTCGCGTGACGTCATAGGGAAATAAGCTCTCCATGGGTCCACATACGAAGGATATGTCGGTTATGAATTGTCTCCCACTCTGCTTTGCCATGCAGATGCACGTCCATGCAGACGCATTGGACGTCGTTTTGTCTCGCAATAATACCGCGCGCGATCAAACTGATTTTCACTTCGTTCTGTGCATTTTTAGACTGCGCAATCTGAGATAGCATTTAGCTAAAAAATCGCGTATTCCTGATAGTCTCAAGGCTCAGCGATCACGTTGGTAATCCTGATAGCTTCAAGATTTAGTGATCACTCTGTCTGCGTGTTTTGTGAAGAAATGATTAATTGAGTGATTCTTGAAAGGAGGGAAGATAAGGCACCTATAACATCTTTGTCACGAGGCAGACAGAAATTAGGTGCCTTCTTACAAATTAGCAATGCTTATACAAAATTATCAATGCTTAGCAATGCAATTAGCAACAAAAATTGGCAATGCTTATTTATAAACAGGTACGAACTGATCGCTCAGGGTTTTATCAGAGGCATCTCCCGAGAGATCAGTCACAACCTACGGCACAGGGTGTATACATATGAGAAACCACGTACAAATTACGGCACACAAAAACTATTGTATCAAATTTCGCATTTCCTGAACGAACAACCGATTGTAGCTTCTCTAATTGACAATACAGTCTCATATGGCATTTTTAAAAAGCAGATACAGGAACACTTCCTTTCTACACAAACGTAATCACCGTCACCATCTTTGTTTCATATTCCCTGAAGTATTTTCTTGTGTAAATCACATTAAGGTTTGGTTATGTTATCCAAACTGTGTTTCATTTATCGGTCAAACATATTCCTTATTGATGTTGTTGTCTTTTGATTGTTGAAACCTTGTATTCAAATTTAAAGTTTTGTCAGGTATTTTACATGTCTCACATTAGTTTTGTTTATGTCCTCTACAGTTTGCTTCATTTGTCGGACACGCATATGCTTTATTGATTTCATTGCATGCGCAAATTTTCGCTCATTTATGTTTTTCTGTACATGTTTTGCATGTAGGAACTTATTTATGCTTAATTTCTTATTGACTCTTTACTTTACACTGAGCACTGTGTTATTTTGGTGGGTTTTGGGTTTACAGGGGGCAGGCGCTTTGTCAGGCTTTTATGCCTTTTCGCCGGTCCCTTAGGCAAATTGTACCTTTCTTCTTTTTGTTTTGCTTTTGCCTAAAATAAACTTCAACTTAAACTTCTTCGCTCCTTTTATTAAGAATCAATCAATCATTTCTTCACAAAGCATGCAGACATAGTGTCGTCATTAAGCCTTAAAGCTGGGAAGCGCACCCGCGCAAGAAGGTTAGTGAAGACAAGAAAGAGATCGTCTTTAAGGTCGGCGTGGTTTATATAGGGTCCATTTAAAGGAAATACTAAAGAAGCGAAACGATTTTTATCGTATTGGTAAACAACACTTTCACGATACCAAGAAGCTTGCTGCGAAGAAACGCTTCACAAGTGAGAAAAAACGCGCAAAATGAAAATGCGGGGGGGGGGGGGGGGGCGACGCCATCTTCAAGTTCCCACATTGAACACCGTGACGTCATACCTTTTTGACGGCGTTCTGCTGTAGGTTGTACGTATATAGTTTTTAATCGTTGAGAATGAAGTACATTGCCTTTTGGAGAAGCCAGAGACTTAACAAGTTCAGGAAAAAGAGAGAGAGAGAAAAAGGAAAGGCTGGGAGGTTAACCAGATATTGGCATCTGGTTTGCTACCCAGCGCTGGAGGCGGGGAAATGGGGGCAAGAAAGAGGGGGTAGATAGAGAGAAAAAAAAACGCACGCGCACTCATGTGAAAACACGAGTGCGTGTTTTTTAACAAGATCAGGAAACATGAGTTTTTTAACAAGTTCAGGAAAGTTTCGTCCAGCTAATGGGGCCAAATACGAAAAGAAAACTTTAATCTGTGACCTATACCATCGGAAGTAGCAGCGCCCTCAGAATATTCTTTTGGTCTGAATGAGCCTATGGCGGGAAAATTTACGACACTGGAATTTTCTGACAATATAGTCTATAGGTATAAATTAATTTATTGTTTCACTAAGAGTTCCACATCTAATGTCTGCCTCCGGAAGAGGGGGATAGAGTGTCCGACGAGCATGCACTTGTGACGAAGGGCCAGCGCCGTGCTATTGCACAAAAAAAGGTCGACGTCCTTCCTCAATTGGCCGTTGACACGTATATACTCGCATCCGGCAACGATAAAACCGGAGTCGAACGTGGCAATCTGCAATTCCGGTACAGCAACGAGGATTACACGTCGGCGCAGTGAATCACATCCGGTGCTTTTAAGAAACTCGCTGATTATCTACATGCCGGTTACGATAGCACGGGGTGAAATAAGAAGACAATGAACGAACTCAATGTCAATTCGTCAATGTGAAAACGTTTGAGCTATAAACAAGGAAGAAACGTCGTGGATAAGATACAGGCACCCGGATATGCAGTTTAAGAGATCTGATGGTATAGCGCAGAACACACAGCCTAGCGAGTAGACGCAGCAAAACCGAACTTGCACGTGCGTATCATTTTCTTTTTTTAGTTGTGAGCAAAGGGGTCACGGCTGCTTATGTAAGCGCCCAGGAAGCGTTCTTTGAAAACGTGCCAAAAAGGGCACTCACACTTCAGCGTGTCACTGTTCAGCGAGCGTTCCATTTTCTTAGTATCCCTGGCGGTCAGTATACCAACAATGCTGAGGCGGCCCAAAGAGCTTCGTTGCGCCCTCTGGTCCAATTTTTATGAAAGGGAACACGCGAATGCGTTGCCTGACCGATCCGACTGCTGCTTGTAGTGCGTTCAAGCTGGAGCGACAGCAACCACAGCCGCTACTCCCGTCATCTAGTGGCGAGCAAAACAAGTGGTCATTGGTGATATGGAACCGGCGGCAAGATAGCAACTCCCTCCTCTTCAAGGCGATAACGCCCGGCCATGCACCCGGCTTCACGTAACCGCCTTGAAGAAGGAGGGGGTTGCTTTCTTGCCGCCGGTTCCATATCACCAATGACCACTTGTTTTGCTCGCCACTAGATGACAGGAGTAGCGGCTGTGGTTGCTGTCGCTCCCGCTTGAATGCGCTACAAGCAGCCACCGGATCGCTCAGGCCACGCGTTCGCGTGTTCCCTTTCATAAAAATTGACACTGTACACTGGCGATCTTTAGAGGCCAAAGCGGAGTTGAAGCACCCCCCTCCTTCCCACTGCTTTGTGACAGCACAACAGCTGAGAGCCGGTGGCACCACTTATATACTTCAGTGTCACGCAAATTTATGGACTGGTTCAAGTTGACACGCTGAGCGACTATATAGATCGATGATGACGCCAAATCGCACTTGAATGAAGGATTAAAAAATCAATGAACTAGACAAACGTTCATGACTGAGAAGTCGACCGGATGTTATACATATATATGTTATATATACAAGATGTCCCAATTTGCACAGATCACAATTTAAAAAGAAAAAAAAAAGAACGGCGTTTTACGCCAACCAAGCCCAGTGCGTATTGTTCCCAGTATAGTGTAGTAACCACTACTAATTTTTTGCGTTAATGGTATTTGATTAATTAACTCCAAAATACTCGCCTATTTATCTGAATCTCAATGAGGCAGATGTGCGCATGTTGATATTTGTTTGTGCTACTTTCACAACGTACTAATTGCGTGCTCATTTTTTTTTTCATCTGGATAAAGAAAGCCCGCGAAGTGTTAAAAATAACGTGTGACTATAGAATGCTGCGCGCATCTGTAAGCAGCGCCGTTAAACAAGCTCACTTTGAGGTGATTGATTGATATGTGGGGTTTAACGTCCCAAAACCACCATTTGATTATGAGAGACGCCGTAGTGGAGGGCTCCAGAGATTTTGACCACCTGGCGCTCTTTAACGTGCACCCAAATCTGAGCACACGGGTCTACGACATTTCCGCCTCCATCGGAAATGCAGCTGCCGCAGCCGGGATTTGATCCCGCGACCTGCGGGTCAGCAGCCGAGTACCTTGGCCACTATAGACCACCGCGGCGGGGCCCACTTTGAGGTGGTCAGTATCAATGAAAGAAATGAAATGCAGCAAGAAAAAAAAAATACGGATCACGTTATCCGCCACTTGCAGTGCGAAGAAACGCACCACTGTGCTCTCAGACAGTCTGACAGTAATCAGAACGGTGTTCCAGCCGCTTTATCTACGAAAGCAGTTGGCCGTGAGATATGGAAAATGATAGCGACGCACAATCAAGCGAAATGAATCCCTGCAAGAACCCGGCACATGTTGGCGCTTGACCTGTATACCTTGCTATGTGGGGAACGCTGTCTCTGGCAACGGGAAAGAGGCAAAATGATTGCTTGCAGTAATCTTATCTGAGTGCGCTGCTTTCTTTTGCGGGTGGGAGCGCTTTCGCGTGTTATTTTTTTTTCATATTTCGCTATCGGGGTTTGTGATCTATAGAATACCCCATGGGGCTACAGATTACAAACCCGTTAGCGTATGCTATAGATCTCAGTATACAATTATTGTAAAAAAAAGGCTCACAAATTGATATTGGTTCATTGGCAGCGCAAAGCGAGCCATGGACACGTCGTCTGTGCGCGACTCGACGGACACGACCGACTCGGAGGACCGCAACGGACTGAGCGACGACAGCAGCTGCGACGAGCCCTGCTCGCCTCCCCAGTGCTCGGGCTACGGCCGCGTCTCTTCCTCGACCTCGGGAAGCTCGTCGTCCCACCGTCGGCCGCGGAAGGCCACCCGGCGCATGTTCACCAACAGGTACGCACACGAGTATGTACCGTTTTTTCTTTTTCTCTCTCCTTATATGTATACTCATTTCGTCCGTCCCATTGATATATGGATGCGTGTGCTTGCTGTTGCCTGTGATGCAGATGCGTGTGCGGTTGTTTAACAGTGGGTAATGACAAGAGTTTACGCAAGCCGGGAAATTTCTCCTGTCGATGATTTTAAACGAATATGAAAAAAATGGCCGCGCATCTCCATGCTTCGCTGCGAAGGATGTGAAAAAGTGATTAATCTTTAATTTGTAGGATGGATGGATGGATGGATGGATTGATGGATGGATGGATGGATGGATGGATGGATGGATGGATGGATGGATGGATGGATGGATGGATGGACGGACGGACGGACGGACGGACGTATGAATGGATGGATGGATGGATGGATGGATGGATGGATGGATGGATGGATGGATGGATGGATGGATGTGGCTGTACCCTTTAGATCGGATGGCCGCTAACGCCACCTATAGCCGTAATACTGCGTGAGATATGGCGCCATCTGGCAGCAATGTGAAGAAATGAAAATTATTTACAACGCAGAGCCACTGGTAAGTCAGGACATTGGGTCGTTAAAGTTCAAACCTCCGAGTTCTTGAGCGAAGCGAAACACACGATTTTTCCTTCACAGCGTCGCATTGTCAGTGCGGCGTAATAAACACTTCGGTCTTTAGAATTACGCATCTATGCATTTTCTAAATAAAAAGACACACTGCCTAACACGTATACGTATTGATTTTGCACCTCAAATATGCGTTATACTTGCTTTTTGATTGACAATGTTCACAAGTATGAACGCAGCCACCACATAAAGATGGGTAGGTGTTGAGCAAGGGGATTAACTTTCGCCGTGTGGCTGAAACGTTGGATAGACACCAACAGACAGTCCAAAGTTTTCGCGTTGAAGTAAAACGATAGTCGCCTACTAACCCTAACAGGTATAGAGCATAAAAAGTATTTAGTAAGGTACGGTGTACAGATCTATTGTTTTTGTTTCTGCGTGTACACCATGGAGTTTCCTAAAATTAACTATAGAGGGGACTCCGGCGCTGCGGTCGTTCAGAGACCATGCATGGGTACGATGGGTATACAGTACACAAATTTGCCTAGTCTTCGTACTTTCGGACGGCGAATCGCAATTGTGACCTAGTTTATATTGCTGTGTTTTGGTTTTGTTTCGAAGGAAACAACGAATCATTTTGAACTTCGTGAGACGATTTGCAATGGTATAGCCTAAAAGAATAAGGTGGTGAAGCGCAACCGCTAAACATTTGCTGATTTTTGTTTCGTGAGAAAACAGCTCCAAGCCATACGAACACACACGGAGCCAGAAGTATACAAAGATTAGACAAACCCCTGTACTACCTATCATTCCGATGCTCGCTGAATCGCCGTGCGTTGCAACTCCCATAGACACTAGCGCCAGAGTTCTCTCTAGTGCAAATTTAGAAAAATCTTTTACACTAGCAAAGGAATGCTTTTCTTTTTTTTGTTAAAACTAGCATTGTGCTATCCATTTTGTTTATTTTTGGTATGTTACGTGCCACCCGTGTGTGCAAAGTATTTAAATTTTCGCTCGTGTACCGCGTTTCAATTTCTTCTGCCATGTTTGTCACATCAATGCATTTCTGTTGAGCATCCTCAGGCGCACTTTTCTAGTATTGCTGTGCAGTTCCTTCCATCTTATAGAAAAAATAACGACAATTACGTAACGTGAAAGCCCCCACCCCCTCAACCCTAATTAAAACAATAGATGTCGCGCGCTTTTTACGAACAGGCCCAAATGAAAGTGGAGAACATAAGCTTTAGAACGGCAAGAACGATTATATAGTGAATTGTCAAGTGCTAAAATGAAGATATTACGGCGAGGCACGTCGTGATTCAAGGGACATTAAAGGGAAATAAGATGCTTCGAAAATTTTTAAATTGTTCTTTCACAATACCAAAAGCACCGTTTTTGCCACGATGCTTGGTAAGCAAGAAAGTGCACGACAAAATAATGTCGATGGCGACGCCATCGGTGAAGTCCCGCACTAATCGACGTGACGTGATGGATTTCGACGGTGTCTGCTAATGCCTGTAAGTTAAATTGGGTTGTTGGTATATGGACCAATTAACCGTTTACAACACTGACGTAGCCACTTCGAGGGGAGGGGGAATTCAACCTAATCTCTGATATTTTTTTTTTCCACATTTTTCATGATATATGTGTGCACGAGCGCATACAAGCACATGAACGAACATACGTAAGGGGTGGTTACCACCCTCCACCCACCCTGCAGAAAAAAAAAAGATTAGCTTCACCACGAGTGCGAAGCAATGGAGACGATAGCAACGAGCCGTAATGATTTAACAAGTAAGGCTGGCAGTGGACTCATTTAGACTTATTATATAGTCTCGCGTAACACTACAAAACACTGATGTAAGAGAATACGACCGCTACAGGGGAGAGCAGTGGATTTCGCAGTCTCTTCGCGTTGAGTGTGCAGCACGTAGAAGAATACATACACTCTAAAAAAAGAGCGAGTAAAAAGGGTGTCTTTTTGTCCCACAACAATAATCGTCATCTATATTGCGTTCCATCCTTGCACTATCGCCCAGCGCCCGGTACATTCCGGTAACGATCGACATGCCCATTGTCAGGGTTACGTTGCATTCTCGATAGGAAAGTGGCCAGCGCCGAGTTTTCAAGAAAGGAAGCGCACGCAAGCCTGATGACGATTATTGTTGTGGGACAAAAAGACACCCTTTTTACTCGATATTTCTTTAGAGTGTATCACGTTGCATATTTATTTGTGAAAAATCGGCCCCGTATCTGCATGTTTCACTGCGAATGTCGTCGAAAGACGATACCCTTGCGTGTGGAGTGAGTAAACAACCATTTATTTGGTGTTCTGCGCGAGAAAATCGCTGATTTGTATTCTGGAAGCGCTACATTAGAGAGTCTCGATCCGTGCAGCGAAGGCATACGAGCGCATCGAGGCACTTTAGGCACGAGCGTCATTTGGCAGTTATCTTTGAAAAAAAAAAAAAAAAAGGAAGGCGTGCGCGCCCGCGGAGAAAGATGCGTGCCTGTCTCGGAGGCGATAAGGGGTAGAAAGCAAAGCGACGGGCAGGTGCCACCACCGCGTCGTCTTAGCAAAGCGTTGGAAACACTTGCCTTTTTGAGCATCGCGTTGCATTGTCAGCGCAGCGTGATAAATGATACGGTCTTTAAAATTACTTGTGTGTGCCTTCTCTAGTGTAAAGGCACACATACGAAACATCGAAGCGTTGTTTTGGTGCCTCTTATACGCGCAATAATTGCTATTCAATTGACAATCGCACAAATATGAACGCTGAAACTTGAGCAATAATTGGTGGGCGCTGCGGATGTGGTTGGCCGTTTAACACATCGTTTGATCACTTTAGTGTCATAAGAAAGATTGTTACCGTGAACAAACGGAGAAGTGTACAGACAGAAAGACAGACAAACCGAAATTTCGGCGTTCAAGGTCCCCAAGAAAAACTTGGGGACCTTGAACGTAGTATTAAAAATGTCTTCACTTCTTCTCGCAGCACTTTGTAAACAAGCAGGACCTATAAATGTTAATCCGTGCATACTACATGTATACATAAATATCTTCCGAGAAGAAACAAGATCAGCATGCGTTCAGTTTTCTTTCTACATAGTATGCTTGATTTTCTTCTAGATGAATTACTAAGCAATACAACTGATTCTAATTGCGCGCGCGCGCGCGCGCGTGTGTGTGTGTGTGTGTGTGTGTGCGTGTGTGTGTGTGTGTGTGTGTGTGTGTGTGTGTGTGTGTGTGTGTGTGTGTGTGTGTGTGTGTGTGTGTGTGTGTGTGTGTGTGTGTGTGTGCTTGTATGAGAGCGTGCTCGTAGACGTGTTACCCGCCTGCAGCGCGGCGTCTTCCCCTGGCGGCCTTCGCCGCTCTTTCGTTCCACGCAGCCGCGAACGATGGAGGCAGCAGAACGTGAACGGTGCGTTCGCCGACTTGCGGCGCCTGGTGCCCACCCACCCGCCGGACAAGAAGCTCAGCAAGAACGAAATCCTGCGCCTGGCCATCCGCTACATCCGGCTGCTCAGCTCCATACTGGACTACCAGCGACGACGAGACCAGCAACTGTGCTGCACGACGACGGCCGCCGCTGGGGGCGCTGGCAACGGCATACACGCTAGAGACGCCAACCTGCTCCTGCTGTGCTCTGTGCGCGTGAAGCAGGAGCCGCCGGATGACACGGCGAACGGACCCACGCCTCCCAGTTCGCCGGCCTCGAGTCTGAGCAGCATGGCCGAACCGTGAATAGGCCTAGCACTTACCGGAGAAAGAATGCGTGTGCGGATTGTTGTACCGACATTGTGGTACTAGTGTCAAAGACATTTGTATATAAATATCTACAGTGCATCGCGACAAACTGCTGCGCCTTCAATTCTCGATTCCTAATTGTGTTCATGCGTACGCGCAGTAAATTGAGCCGGCCTCGCGAATGCTTCCAAGGTGATCCTCCCATCTTTAGTCTGAAGTTGGTTGGTCCGTTCACACAGCCATTCACAAGCCCTCGCTCTGAGGTTTGCCAGCATAATATTGACCATTAGAGCAGTGGTTCTCAAATGGGGTTCCGTGAAGCAGTCCTAGAGGTAGTGCGACGCCCTCGCCAGCAATTTTTTTTTAGGCGAGTTTAGACGTATTGTCAATTCCAGGTCTTGCTCCAGGAAGTGCAGCAACATTCTTAACAAGCTCGCCTCGACTTCCCCAACGCTTCAGTTAACAACTAAGCCTGCTGCATGCCGCACATCAGCCGTAATAGCACTGTATTTCCTTCACCTGCTCTTTCTTTCTTTCAATAACAACTGTAACAACTGACGCTTGTGCGGAAACGTCCTAAATACAGTAGAGGCGTCATTTCATGCCAACTAGTTGGCTGTCACCTTATTCATAGCCTCCTCTCTCTCCCTTTCTCTCCACCTTCTTTTACTCACACAAATGGGTCCGCAATCATTTCGACCTGTCACAAGGTGTCCCTTACATAACGACGGCTGAGAGGCACTGTAATAGAGCGTAGATAACGTATTCCTTCCCCCTGCACCCTGCCCCCACCCATAGAAAAAGAACGAAAGGAAAGGGCTGCCAGCGTGACTATAGCCTCATTCGTGAGCTTATACAGACGGATCCACAGCAATATTACGCTTTATTGTATGAGCGCATTATCACGGCTATTAATAACGTGTTTTGATGTGATGTCTTCAGTGCAATACACCCTTCAGTGCAGTTCTTCAGTTGCGAATGGATTGAAGCAGCAAACGCTACGCCAAGGCTGGCTTCTCCTAAGTGTTAGACGCGTGGAGAGAAGGCCACTTTCACAATGTCCTACGTTTAACCTTCGTGGCATTATTCACGGTATACGGTCTCTTATACTTCACGGAAAGCAAAAAAAAAAAAGCGAAATGAACAAATACACTGACCACACAATGTCGAAATTGTGACATAACAGCTCTGAGACTGGTACTCAAAGGGATCGCACATAGCGACAGCTCGCAACGTGCTTTTTTAAGGAGGTTCAAATAAACGGCGACGCATCGCGAAACATTCTCCAGCCCGAAATCATCTCTCGATAACTGCAGCACACAGTCAGCCATCACTGAGCCAATCACGTTACAGAACGCGCCTAAGAGCCGCTGCTCGTAAATGAGACAGGTCTAAATGTTCACGAGTCTGTCGCTTTTGAAGCCGAGTTCCTCGGTTGCTGCAATGAACTTCATTAATTTTTCTTTTCGTGTTTACACCTGAGCTCTGAAGATATTTAGAGACGCTAGCTGTGTCACATGAGTTATACACGGGGCTGTACCCAGGACTTTTATTCGGAGAGTGTTTATGTGTAGAACGGCACACTTTGGCAACTTCTGGTCCATGTAAAGGCGTCTAAATAGCTCAGTATCACCCTCAAAAAGTTTACAAACATGAAAAAAATATCAAGGGGTGTCAGAACACCCTCAACTTTGCGTGCATATAGTTACGGATACCGGGTATAAATACAGTCACTGTTGAGCATGTCAATTTACGCTTAAGGCCTAACATTCAGTACGTATGTACTATCAGCGTCAAATGAAACCCGAACAGAGGCAAGCCTCCGCGATGGTATAGCGACGCCGTCCACTTATCACCATGGGCAGGCACAGATGTACGCGCGGAGCAGCCAAACAGGATGCACGCGCCTGCCCATGGACGACATCTTTATACCATCGCGGATCCTTTGCCGCTGTTCTTTCGCAAGTGGTGCCCCGACCTCAGACTCCTGTGACCGTGTTTCCATCTTTCCTATCTCTCCTATCCCCTCATATGTCCTCGCTCGCTGTCCCAGCGCATCTCTCTTTTTTCTCTCTCTACACCTTTATTCCTATCCTTTTAATCCCTCCTCACCCCCATCCCTTGTGAGCTGCTGTTGAGGTGTCGCACCTCGATGCAGACAGATACGGGGCTCACTTTTCTCTTCTTTTCCCTCTTATAACCACTTCTCCGTCATTTGACGCTGATTGTACATAAGATTTAAATGCGTAATGTGCTGCCAGAGGAACGCTTCAACGAAAAATATGTTATTTGTTTCTGCGAAATAAAAAGAGAGATATTGAGCCAATGTCTTGCGTCACGTCTTTAAGAACAAAACATGGTTAATTGTGCGGGAGTAGAGTGGGCTCACTAACGAAAATGGCAGTGTGTTTCGCATTGTGTCACTGCTGGTATCATAAGCGAAGACAGGGTTCTCTGCTAGGGGGGGGGGGGGGGGTAAGAGCATGTTTGATCGTATCTCCCCCTCGACCATTCAAGTGCGAAAGGCCTCAAGAGTCGCAATAGCTGCATAAATGAAAATTGAGTACGCGCTTTCTCACAGCTCCCTTCCTGTGGTCCGACTCTTTTGAACGATCCTTGGAACTCAACGTCGGGGGTCTTCGGTAGTGATTTTAGTCACAATCATACATGGGCCCTGCATAGCCATTCATGGACCTCCACATTAAATAATTGTGGGACAGGTCCAATTGAGCAAATGTATGCGGCTGACTCGGCGCCCCTTTAATATGATAGAGGGGAGGTGGTGCAACAGAAATCTACAAGTAAAATATATAGATAAGATATACAATAGAAGTGGCACAACATACGATGCACCATTTATTTCATACTGTCTCTATAGCTCCTACCTACCACATTTGCATATAGAGGCAGTACAGTGGTGCGCTGCTACGCACGAAGTCGCGCGTTCGGCTACCGGACCTCGGTGGCACATTTCGGTGGAGGCGAAATACAATAGCATTCGTTTACTTTGGACTTAGGTGCACAATAATAGAAACCTCACAATTGAGGGGCATAGCTCATGATCGTATTTTGGCTTTGGAACGCAAAAATAGCAGAGTTTCATGTTAAATTTTGCTATTTCTTCATATTTCATTCTACGTGTAGCGTGTCTATAGACACCATATCACTTAGAATAAATTGATCATAGCGTGTTAAACGTTGACGAAGAAGACGTAGTGTGTTTAGAAAAAAGTGGTTAACAATTTTGAGTGCTAGGTACTTTACTATGAGAGAGCATAAAGCCGTCCCATGGGCCTCACACCTGTTTAGAAAAAAAATATTTACAGCAAGTACAGAACACCTAGGCTTCATACCATTCCAGTAACAGGGCATATACACTTCGGCACATCTATATTTCACGACTAACATCACTACGTTACAGTGAAGACATTTGCTCTAATATACATGACAATGTTGGCATATATGTACACAATAACTCAATGCAATATCATGATACAATGGTATAACGATACAATAGATGCAATGAAACACTACATGTAACAAATGAAATCATATAAAACAACTCAACGGGCGCTGCTTAGCACCAAGTCGGTCGAAAAATGAGTTGTATCCTTTCGTGTTCCACCTTGACGAAAGGGCACGACCAATGCCACAGAAACTCTTGCTACCCGAGGAAGAAAAGCTCCTCGGAGAGGTACGCGAGGATCTTTCGCCTGATGTTTAGAAAAAAAAATGTTTAACGATTTCGAGTACTTCGTACTCAACTATATAAGAACTACATTTTCAACGCAACACTGTTTCCACGCTGATAAGACAACCAAATGCTGATACCCATTCATGTCGATTTAAAATATTACAGCTAGCTTGTTTTAAGAAACAATTTGCCGCCTTAGTGATCCTGGATATCGCAAGAGCTTATGACGGCGTAGAACATTTAGGACTAATAAATTCGCTTAAAAACGCAGGTCTACCACAATACTTTGTCGCATGGTACATTCCTTCTTAAACGACCGATAATTTTATTGTTCTCTATCTGATTTGTCTTCATTAAGGTACAAGCAAACTAGAGGTCTCCCACAAGGATCGGTGTTATCACCACTATATACTAGACGCGCACGCAAGTGCATATGTAGGCCGGTGATATCGCGTTTTAGGGGCGAAGATCCTCTTAGTCTAACCTTGTAATGCATCACGCGTAACCTAGAGAAGAAGAGACGAGAAAGAAAGCAAGGCAGTATCTCCCGAACAGTATATTAGATGGCGCTGTCTCATAAAAGTACATACAAACTGCCATTGAGTGAGGACGTTCTAGATGGCACTGTACCGCTACTCTCAGATGGGCTGCTGTGCGGGCTGTGCCTCGGTACGCGGAGAACGAGTGGCTCTCTCAGTATCCTGGATAGTCGCCGTACGCGGCGGATCGTCGGTGGGGCATGGACGAAACATAGTGGTGGGCGCGTTGAAGGCACTTGTGCTTGGCTTCCTTGGCTCGCGTCTCGTCGGTGTTACCCGTGCACCGTCTGCATACTCGAACGCGATCGGACGCATGGAGTGACGGACGGACTCGTGGACGAATGGAAGGACGAACGCTTCACCCCACTCATCATTCACTCCGAGTATATGCTGTGATTGGTTGCGAAACTTTATTGAGGTCCTGCAAGGCGCGCGTCAGCGCGCAGCGGGCGACTCCCACGTCGGGACCGTTAGGCCAAGCCTATCGGCCGCTCCGCGGGCCTGCTGGACGGCCCAAAGTTGGTCGGCAGGGAGGGAGCTGCGTAGGACCACCTCCCACCTGACCGATGTAGTGTTGGGGTTAGTGTACATTGCCTTTCACTCCCAGAGCATATGTGCCAGCGTGGATACATTCCCCACATGCGGGGCAAGCGTCATTGGGAAACACGTCAGGATAAATAGCGTGAAGGGATCTCAGGTTAGGGTACGTGTCGGTCTGCAGTAGTCTGAGCGTAAGGGCCTGTGGCCTATTAAGATTTGGATGAGGGAGTGGATATAGTCTCCGCGCGAGGTAAAAATATTTTGTTATTTCGTTGTACGTGTATGCTGTGATTTTTTTTTTTGCTACCGTTGTAGATATATTATTCACTTTATCAAAGTCTTCAGACGCAGATGAACGCTCTATAAACATGGTTAGAAAATGTAAACTTATCGCTGAATGTCGAAAAAATTGGCAGCATATCCACGGAGTGAATGATGGAGAGTGGGGCGAAGCATTCGTCCGTCCATTCGTTCTTGCTTCCGTCCATCCATGCATCCGTCTGTGTGACTGCCTATGCGTCCATCCACCCGTCCGTGCGTGCGCCTGTTCGTGCGTCCATCCCTGCGTTCGTCCATGCATACGCCCCTGCGTCCGTTCATGCGTCCATCCATGCATCTGTCTGTGTGTCCGTTCGTCCATCTATATTCAACACTCCAAGTACCATCATCTCGCATCTTTTCATCATATATTCCCCATATAAAGCACCGCCATCCAGCGGACATTCCAAGGACTAAACGAGAGGTGGCACACGCACACTTTCTTACGGCTTGCGCTTCGGGTCTACTTCCCACCTTTAACCACCTCCAGTTCATGGTATATACTAGTTCATTGTATTCATGGCACTGCGGCTCAACGCTCACTAAACCTTTCTAAAACTAAGGAGGTTACGTCCAGCGAGTATAACGTAGCAACCTTTTCCTGTCAGATAGTGCTCAATGTATATGCCAATGGCTGCTAATGGGGATCGCAGCGTGCGCGTTAACTAAAAGCCGAATGCACCTGTCTCTCATTCCCCATTAACAGCCATTGACATGTACATTGAGCACTATTTTTTTATTGTTCAACAACGCACAGAAAAAATATCTCACCGGCACCACCTTGGAGGTCATAATGTTATACTTGTTACTCACTACTACAACGGCTACGAGGGACAAACGGGTGCCGCTATAAAAAGCTTCGCCCCTAAAAAAAGTGCAACGGTAGTTTTTGCTCGGAGTGTTGCGGTGTGTATCGCTTTACCTTATCGGCAAGACGTTATTCCGCAGGTGGAATCTGTTAAATATTTAGGGGTCAATTATACTGATAAACTTAGTTGAAGTCGCATAGAAAACATGGCTGCTAAAGGAACACGTGCGCTAGGAATGCTTCGTAGACTCAGCAACAATTAAGCGTTCAGGTTTACGCCGTGAAGTTCTCATCGTGATTTACGGCATGTATGTTCACCCGATTTTAGAATTCGGCTGCGTCTTGTTTTCTGGTGTGCCTGCATACAAACTGCGGCCACTGGTTCTTCCATAACGTGAATCACTAAGATTATGTCTTGGGCTTCCAAAATTTGTCTCAAATAATATATTATAGAAAGAAGCACGCCTGCCTTACAATTCATACTCGGTTTAACATCCTATAGCTGTGCGTACATTTTCCACGATATATGCATTGCCGTTGAGGGGATTGCAATTTATTTGTATCAATCAACCGACGGAATTTTTCGGCCATCAGTGGTCAAGATTACGGTGTCCCCAGGTCATTTTCGCATATAAACAGTTGGAACCATTACAAGTGCAGCTTTGCGTAGTACCTATCATAAGAAGATCTGTACAAACGAGTATAATAGAATTTGGTGACCTCTTTCCCGAGAATAGCAAACATTTGCCCAGTAGATAGTTAAATTGCGTTTTGCAAGACCATTTGTCTATAGTTCAGAAACGCCTGCTGTGGTAGCAATTGATGCTTCAGTATGTGAAGAGAAGGAGGGAGTGGGAGTTGCATCAATATCTCTGAATTGGTCTTGTTCGATTCGTTTATTCGACTTTACTCCTGTTCATCATGCGGAATTACTTTCCATTATTTTAGCCTTACGGAAATGACCGCTATTAATATCAGAGGCCGCCATTCTGGCAGACAGCTTATTCGCCTGTTCCTCATTAACTGCATCAAAATTTTCAAATTCTTTAGAAGCATTTTCTTCCTTATTCCTAGACATATACTACGTATTATTCGAATGGTGTGGGTACCAGTGCACATATATATACCTGTCAATGAATATGCGGATGCACTCACCCTCATAATGGTCTTATAATGTCAAATTTTACCGACGTTGGCGTTCGTATACCTACGGCACGAGTTGAAAAAGTTTCCACGACGGACAACTTCGACAAGTCTGCGTTGTCGGCCTCCAAATTCTCTCATATCAATTATCGTTGGCAAAATTGACGGTGCTCTTCCAGAAGGGCCGAGATCTCAGTTACCAGAATGCGATTCCAACTGAACACTTACCTACGCAGGTCGTCTGGTGCAGTCACCTTTATGCCTCCATTGTAGTGA